TCAGCCTAGCTATCGCCGATGTGGTGAGTTCGAGCATGACGGGACTGCTTCTGCTGATGGACAAGCTGGGGATCGTTCAAGAGGCAGGGGTATTCCCTTGTCTGATTGAACTGACGAGACTCAGTGGAATTTTGATTACAGTCCTGCATCTGCTAGCGCTGAGCTTCAATCACTACATCGGGATCATGAAGCCTCTGCACTACAACGTGATCGTCACCAAGAGAAAGGTGACTACGGTGATCGCCATCCTCTGGGTCCTTCCCGTCATCCTAGTGATCATTCTCTCCACAGTGGAGAACAACTGGAAGCTCGTAGACAGCATCAAATCCAACACCTGCACCGTAGATATCTTCACCACCTTTGCCATCCGGCTGAGCTACAGCACGCTATTCTTCTGCCCCATCATCCTCATGGTGTTCTGCTATAGCCACATCTTGGTGTCAGTACGTAACCAACAAAACAAGTGGAAGAACCTATCCCGGTCGGGAAGCTCCAGGTCCAAGGGTAGAAACGTCAAGTCTGGTGGTAGCCAGAGAGCTATGCGGGAGCAAGCTCGGCTCCAAGGCAACATCAAAGCCATCAATACCACATTGTTGATTCTTGGTTCCTGTTTCATAGGATGGTTACCTGGTCTTTTGTTTTATATTCTTTCCTGCAACGATTGAAAGGCTCTTCAGTACCAAATTGGATAACATTATAGAAAATACACACAATTCATTCATGAATCACGATTTTTAATGTCACGGAATAAGTTTGACCTACTTATGTTATCGATGACATCGTGATGACATTCATTCACTTATTTGATTTAATCGCAGCCAAGAGGAATCTCATTTGAATTGAAGGGGTTATATTTTTAGGAGTGATTAATTTTTGGGAAAGAAAGTTTTTGGCTTCAAGATGGAGTAGTAAAAAGCCAAAAACTTTCTTTCCCAAAAGGTAATCACTCCTAAAAATATAACCCCTTCAATCCCTAATACTGGTTTTGTTTTCAATTGTTTCTCATGCGTCATGTGCTTTTCCTATCTGACTGCAGTATACTATCTTATACTAGGCAATGAACTACTCTAACTGAGTTTTTCCTTGTGGCTTGTGAATGTCAGGCTTTGAGTTTCACGACTCTCATATGCCTTTATTATAACGTCTCATTTGATTAAACCCGAAGACTCCAGGGCCAGTTCAGTCCTGGATACTATGGGGTAATTCCAAGTGCCATGTACTGAACATTCTCTGGTCATGTTGAAAAGTGAAAGTGGTCGTGTATTTTTGGAAAAAAGTTGAACAGACAACATGTTACCTCAGGGCTAGTAGTAGAGTGCCACCAAGATTTAGCCAAAGCCTCGGTAGATAATAACAGTATCCTGAAGTGGGTTAAAGGGCATGACAGGAGTAAATGTAATTGCATTGCCGACTCTTTAGCCAAGGAAGCGGCTGTACTAAGAATTTCAGGACCCAGTGACACCTACGGCATGATGACTTCGACAATTGCGGAACTAAATAAATGTTACACCCATGCTCAATCCCTAAAGATCTGGGATGGAATCAAGTAATTCAGTCTTGCCAGGCGACCCTGGGAAGCTGGCGGCGAAGAAATATCTGGCAATGACTAGCAAAAACTTATGCTTAACAGTAGAATTTCTGACTGGCCACTGTCAACTGAGGAAACACCTCCATAATATGGGGCTAGTGGGCCCACCTCTATGCAGGATATGTGAACAAAAGATGAAACTGTCAGGCATGTTATATGCGAGTGTCCGGAGTTATCGTTAATAAGAGAGTGTGTGTTCGGCGAGTCTGCCGATATAAAGGAGATGTCTCCTAGTAACCTACCCACCTTCCTAGAAAGGACACGAAGGACGATGACCTAGGAGGGCAATGGGTCACATATGGCCTAAGTGCTGTGGGCCTACTCCCTACCCTACAGATACAGAAGGAAAAGTTGATAGTGGATTATACCTCACCTTCATTCTTAGTTATCAGTTAGTTCACAATTTTCCTAGGCTAAATCATAGAAAGGATTTCACCGTAACCTATTTTTTACAGGACAGTACAAATCGCATGTATCTCGCCGTTGCAGGAATTTTCTGCCCATCCAGAAGAAACAACAATTCCTACGGTCTAGCTTACCAGTCGTCCAGGAAACAGACCAGCGTCATCACGTCGCAGCTCCGGATGAATTCGTTCAGAAACAGCGGCAGTACGACAGAGACTCAGCTTATCTGACAAGAAGTTGAAAACACGTTGTTATAAAATAATAATGATGATAATTTTACAGCACCAAGTATTTGTAGTATTTGTATTTTGGATTATTTGAATAAGTCGTTGGAACGGGCTGACTAGGCCCTGGCTTCTCAATTTCAATTTATGTTTATTGTGAATTTCGTCGTCTAATAAATGGAAATTGTTGATTGCGCATGGAGTTTGATTTTTACACTACTGCCGCTTCTCTGTTGATACAGGGTGTTCTTTTGTTACGGTTAGCTCAGTGAGTTTTCCATCTATAAGTTGTCATATCTTTATTATTCCAATCAAAATGAGCCTCACTGTATATCAAACATTGCTGGCAAGACAAATATCACTCTTCCACCACATCAAAACAACATTTCTCATTCCTACTGGTGAAATGCCTTTCCAACTATATACATACTGTTTCTAAGAGAATCCACATGAGAAAATTATCGACGAATGTGCAACTCTAGCATCCACATAAAGGAGGTAATTAACAAAGTTCTTTGCAAAGAGCAGGCAAAACAACGTCTAAAAACGAAGAGACATTGTCGTAATAGACGTCAATACGGCAGATTGAAACGAAAAACGGGGCGTCTAATGAGCTGAAAAGATGAAATAGAATAAGTCAGCATTAACTGGAGAATACAGAAAATTCGACCAGATGTGACGTAAATTGAGCCTCATTCCGTTATCTAAAATCATTATGGTAATCATTTTGGCACACTTCATCGAGAAACTCCAGTATACTAGATGATTATATGGACAAGAAAAATGACCTTCACACAAAATGATATTCAAAAAATACAAATATCTGTCACTTTTTTGGTAAAAAAAACTAATACACAACAATATTTGATATCTCGTGAAATCAAAAATGTTCAGTAACTATTGTTGAGACGTATTTTCAAGATGTTAGACATTTTAATGTGCCTAATATTAGGCACATTAAAATGCCGTGTTAGGAATCACACGTTAAAAGGTAAGACCTCGTTAATCCTTGGCTCGCACAAGTTTCGACTTCTGAGGGTTGTCGTTCGTAGGGGTGCGACAGCTGGTTAACGGAAAACAGATTTTTTTTTAAATATTCAATGTTTCCAAACTAATGAATGATTTCAAACCAAGACTCTACTATTGCAGAAATTCCACTAAACTACTTTTCAATTTGCTTGCTATTGTCGTTTTTCAAACTTCATCACATCTTGATTAGTCGTCATTCCTTTTGCCATTATTTCGAAAATTATCCATCCTTATTTCCAGTACAATTTCGAAACTCGATAGGCAAATACGGTTATCAACATTCATCAGGGCCGACATTATCTAGAACAATCAACCGCAGGGTACCAGTCTTTCTAAGTAAACGACTAACAGTTTGTCGTTGTCTTGATTATCAAGAGGAGGCTCTTGAATTTCTGTTCTCTTCTTTCGATGTTGAAGTGTCTTGCTTCTTGTCTTTTGTTGGTACCACAGGGTACCGTCTTTCTACGTAAACGAGTAACAGTTTGTTGTTGTATTGATTATCAAGAAGGGGCCTTTCCATCTGCTCTTCAGTTTCTGTTCTCTTCTCTCCATCTTTTTGTTCCTCCGGTGCATAGTTATATGTATCGTTTGCTGCATCAGTGAATTCAATGGTCCCTCAAAGTCACTCTTCAAAGTCCTTTTGATGTTGAAGGGTCTTCTTTCTTGTCTTTTGTTTTCGGTAAGACCATAATCTTTCTTCTAGCTTGTTCTCATCCATTGTCCATGTGGTCGGTCCTACAGAATCTGATCCCACAGTTGCAGCACATGGCAGTTGTGGAATTTCAGCTTTATTCAGCGTTGCAGTAGGCAAACTTCTTCTGGTGTTCAGTTGTTTACAGGCTACGTCTATGCAAAGTTCTTGGTTATGTGTTGAGCGAGCCTATCAGAATTTGTTAGATGAAATCCTCCCAACCATGAATGAAGACTTGGATGGTTGTGCCTTCTCAGGGAATGGAACTCTTGGACTCAGTAATCACTTACCTCATGATGGGTGAATTGGTTAATGAATCCTCCGAATCGGGAAACTAAGACCTTTTCAGGAAAAAATTATTCAATATTGAAGAGGTCGGTTATCATTCGACTTATTTTGAATGAAAATGATTCTTTTACTTTTTGTTCTTCTTCTTTCGAATTTCGCTAACCTTTGAGAAGTTTGTTGACGCTTTCTCAAATGTGACAGTATTCCTGGTTCTTGATCTTTTTGTTTTCCTTTTCTTTGCCATCATATTATTCCAGTTCTTCTTTTCTTGTTGCTCACGCTGTTTCTTTTCTTTTCCATTTCCAACTCGTCGAGGATATCTACTGTGGCCGGCATCTCATCGTGAATACAACGTAATGGACACTGAATCATTTCCTTCGCCACTTCATCAACTCTAAAACTAAACTGAAACGCTTGCAAATCAATCAAGTACAACTTGAATTGAACTTCAATATCACTGGTTCACTTCACTTTCTGTAGCTCACTCCACTTCTTTCATTGACTCATCATCCTCTCCGGAATTATTGCTTACAAATGAAAGGTAAAATTGGATAAATCCAAAAACAAGCATTTTTAACAATCACCAAAACTTCAATACTCTTCTCTTCTGGGAACTTAAATACCCTCCCAAAGAGGGTATAGTTCAACTATTATACTGCTACTAAAATTCAGTAGTTTTAGTAAAATGAAAAAGTACACCCCTGAAAAGAATAACATGTGACACAAGAAAAAAACTGAATCAACATCTCTTATCGTAGTAATGTCAAAAACTTACTTTCCATCAACAGCATCGACAACAGCAACCTCCAATCCCAGCTCATCGAAACAAGCTTGCATCCTCTTTCTCCTCTCTGGCCTCCTCAGCAAATTAATCATGAAGATCTTGTCGAATCCCAGAGAATCTTTTTCTGGCAAAACCCGAACATGATCCCGAAATAAATCGTCCACGTACAGAGCGTCCATGGTATCAAGAACCTCCAGCTTGATATTGGTGAGTTGCTCCAAATCTAGGCTCAGCGGATCGTTCTGCTCTAGTGGTACCATTACATACCCGAATGGTACTTCGTTGCAGAGGTACAAGGGTATACCTGACAAGTTGGCGCTGATTGCGAATGCGATGATGTCGTCGTTGGGGCCTTTGTAATCTGCGACAATTGAAGAGCGACCTTTAATCTAGTGCAATTATGTCAAGTTTTGAATAGGAATCTTTATTAGGTAGGTAGTCATTACATCCAATGAACATATGTGCAAGTTTTTTTCCAGAGAAAATACTTGCGGATACTTTTGTCAATATTCGTGGTGGAAACTGGTTTCTATCTTGTACAGTCTACTACCTTCAGGAAAGTAGATAACAAATCCTGCTGTATAGAAATTTGAGGAAGGTTTGTATTTGTCTCTCATCGGCAGTCATCAGATTGACTTGATTTCTGTGTGGGATGTTGATCAGCAAGTGAATTAGAGTCTCAGGCGCCACGCGACCTTGGGTCGGGAACCCGGCAGGTCATGATGGGCCTTTCGCTCGGTGACAAAGTGATAATCAACTCATTCAGTATTGAAAACTAAAGTGACTTCACCAGCTGCTCGAGCAACTGCACTAAAGAGAAATGCTCCAATTTCTGCTATCTCATGGTCGCGGGTCGCGGGTGATCCAGTACCATTCTATCATGTAGAAACTCAAAAGTCCGCGACCTCTCTGTTGTCGAGGGAAGTACAACCGTGGAACGGATAATTTGACATGCAAACGCCTACGCAGGTGAATCATTTTCTGGGTCATTACGGCGAGTTGATACAGCTCTTATCGGGTCCATTTCCCCACCCCAAACGAGTACAGTAAGATTGGAACGACAAACATATTCCCCGACAGTTCTAATGACCAGATCTGCCGGAGTTTGTGCTGATATTTAAAGTGCTGTTATCTCTTGTGAGTGGCGTTGTACCACTACGAGGTAAGTATACGTCTCTACCGTATCCAGATGGTGCAGGATTCTTCCATTCACGACCTGCACATCTTCTCCGTAGTCCCCGCATTGTCCTCTTTTGAGATGGACGGTTGCACATTTGTCTATCCCAAATTTCACACCAATAGCATGCGTGTACTCTTGCACCACCCTCAGAGACTGATGGAGATTCTTTTTTCCAGAGGTTTGAGATCATCCATATCAAACAAATGGGTGATCTTATGCCTCCGGTTTAAAGGGGCGAGACAGTTATATCCTCGTGTACTTCTGAGCGCAACGTATAATGGCAATAGTGAGATGCAGATGCAGATATTATCATCATAATTATCAATAATATAATATAATAATACGATCACTGCGAACATATCAAAAATGTTATTTTCATGCAGGGTGAATAATAAAGTTGACAGATTACAAACCTTGAACCTTACTGGGATCATACGTGAGCTGATCGGATTCCTGCTTGCGCAAATCAACCAGAACGCATGAATGGACCATTGGTACGTTAAAGCAGCCTATTTCTTGACGATACAGAACTGGCTTGTACATGTCGGTTCTTTGGTAATAATAGTCTTCAGTCATGCCGTACCAAAAGTTGGAGTACAAGCCATCAGACCGCAGCATCGGTGCTACTATAGTGAGATTTTTGGAGATGAGATGGTCCAGAGTGTTCGGGTTCACTAAAAATACATCACAGTCGATTGCCTGGAACGAAACAATGTTTCCGTGTCGAAAGTCGGTATTTGATTTGAAATAGTAATCTAGGTTATGTTTGTGGTGAACAGAGTTTAAAAGTTTCGTATAGTTTGTCAAGAAATGAGAGAAACTACAGCAGTATATCTATAATCTCATTCATAACAAACAAAATAACAAATCAACTACGACAGATGTGAAAATATATCTAGTAGTAACCAAGACATTCTCCAACAAATGAGTATTCAGTTGAAGGGGATTGATATTGGTATAAATAGATATTCCTCTGAATTATATCGTCAACAGACACACTGCACCAATTAATAGGACCGACTTGGCTTTTTTCATAGGAAGAAAATATCACACTATTTTCTGTTGGGAGTTTAAAGGCCATAGTAGAGGGGTTAGTCGTGATATTCTTCAGTTAACTTTGAGAGCACCCCAGCCAGGAGACGATTATGTTATGTTTGATGTACCGGCATGTTTGCCTTCTTGAAATTCTTTCACTCTCAGTTAATACCGAATGGACTATAGACATTTTCCTAAAGACATATTTGAAAACTCAATGGATCAACATCGTTAACAGTTGTCATTGATAAAAAATGTTTTTTTAGAAGAACTCTGAGAAAAACACACATTTCTTAAAATATCGATTTTATTATGATAACAACAGAAAAATGAATATTAAAAACTACAAACTTAGTAACGAGGGCAATTTCTAACGAGGACACACCGTCCGCTCTCTTCGTCCAATATGTAATTATCCTTGCAGAAGCATTTCTTCTCGCACTGTGCTGAACAGTGAGCAAATTGGCGATTTTGACATGTCGCAACACATGGAGACGCACATATCACATGGGCATTCGGGTCTCCGCAAGGTTCTGAAACAATCAACGAAATATAATGGGGTGGAATAAGTGTAAATAGATAAAATACTGTTAGAAAGAAGAGAAAGAGACATATCCGTATAGATTCCACAATGTTCTTCAACTTTAAACATATAAAATTCTGATAACCTTGAGATATTACAGTATGAAGTAGACTTACAAAAACCGACGAACCTTTCGAAACAATCTAATAGTTCTCTCTACATCCTGCTTCAACACAACCGTTAAAATTTTCTAATAGAATCCCCAACCCAATTAGGGTATTGTGTATGCATATTTTCAATCGGTAATTGAATCCACACCATTAACCATTATTCATGATCGGATCGATGGCTTTGCATCAGCGCTGCATAATCCATTGTAGAATGTTTCTTTTAACGCTGGCCGCAAAACAGTTTTGTGTGGGCATGTACAAGCTGAATACGAAATGAAAACACATTTCAATATCAGTTCGCTCTACATTATCCCCCATGGGGAAATAAACAGGAAATGAAATTTTGGCGTAACTATCGAGCCAGAAACATTCTAAAGCAAACAAACTGCGAATGAATATCCATATTGACGAAGGTTTTTTGACTTATTTGAAGGTAGTAGCGTTATTAACAAAGTTCTGGAACGAATATATGCATCACAAATAAAATTGAAATATGGAATAGATTGACTGTGTACTGAGTTCTAGGATACTCAGAAATCAGAAACAATGGATCAACAGCTCCATATATTGGCTCTGAATCAGCTGTGGAGGTATCAAAACTTGGTACGGGACTAGATCGATGACAAATAAAATGAGAACTGTGAAAGTACACCTTTATAAAGAGTACGTCGGAGGCCGATCAAAGATCGGTTCAGACTAAATACAGAGGGATTCACTGGACACTGTCCAATTAGAGGACCGCAAACAAAATAGGAATTCTCAATGTGAACCTTAGCTGCAGACAAATGCAACAGAAGCACGGAAAAGGCTCGTCATTTCACATTCGTGGTGCTCTTGGATCACAGCAAACCATTTGGTACCTTAGACCACCATATTATCTGTAATAAACTGGCTTATTTTGGATTCAGCAACGGATCTGTGGAACTTTTGAACCCCAAGCACATACTTAGATAGTCCAAACTCAAATGCTTAGCTTCTGATTCGTGGAGCTATTACAACACCATGATTACTTACATCCAGCAGCTAAATATATTATTAATTAGATATGTCACTACTGATTGAGTATTGGTAATAATTGGTTGGAATGCATTCATCAAAACCAATATTAATATTGATAAAATAAAGAAAGTAATTGATTGAGATGACACCTTTTCAATGTTTCTAAATTTTGAATAACTGCAACAGTTTTTGAGATTGAAAAAGTATATTTTCAGTAGAGATTAATTTTTGGGGAAGAAAGTTACTTTCAGACACAAACTGGGAGTAATTATGAACGAATTGAGTGTTTTTTCCTAAAACGTTATCCGTATTTGCTACTGAGGAGCCGATAAGGCAAGTGACTTACGGCGAAACATCGGATGTCTAGCAGTGAGGATGACAATGTTCCATGTAGGTTAAATTTTGCTTCTTTCATTAATTATATTGTGTAGTAACCCTGTGAATGATTTCTGATTCGATTCCATACGAATTTTTGAAACCTAACATAACTTTTAATTTATTTGTTTGGCTCAAAATTTCGACTCACATGACTAAGCTTCATCAAAGTATTAGTACAACACAAAACTGCATATAATTACTGAAAACACTTACCTTTCGCAACCCTGGCCCAAACAAGCGGAACCGCAAACAAACAACAAAACAAGATAGCCTGCATTTTTCTTCTCGTCTCCGAATTATTAATTCGCCGCATGAAAACACGTCTTGTAGCTTATATAAGCGTAATCCCGATCCGATTAAATCACCTCATTTCCATCGAAGCCGCGGCATAATCTTTATTCATACCGGATGGGTTATTATTGCTGCATTAATTGATGTAGGTGAGGGCTCGTATAAATTACCATCGCAATGATGGGTTCGTCGCAACTTAAGTATATTTGCGATTATTCTTAAAGTAGGTGAATGTTTATATGCAAAAATTAATAAGCACTGTTTTGGCAGATTGCCGTGAACTTTTATTTCGTTCAGGTATTTCGGTGTAATAACTATGTCGCTGATTCATAGGTGTTACCAAAAGGTGTAATTATGTTCAATGGAATTACGTATTTGGCCCTCGGATTTGAGAAATTATACATCAAATGACCTGTGGGTTGGGCTATCTATCGGGCACGTCCCCAGGTGGCGGACAAGGGAACGGCCAGGGACTGAAGGCCCTGTCCGGGAAGCCAATGTGGCCTTACGGGCGGAGTCGCCGGACTCCTGGTCAGTGGCAGAAATAAGTAGGGTAAAGGGAATTAAACTCTCCAAAAGCCTTTGCGAAACATACCACCGTGGTCTAGCCTACCCAATTAGGTAAAAGGAATCGTGCTGACAGCTGAATGGCCGCAGGATGAGCCGCCGGATGATATGCGATTACGAACGATCTCCTTGGGGAACCGGGCGAAACCTCATTGTAATTAGTTTTCCTCTGGCAATGCGGGGCTCTGCCAGAGGTAGCGTGGCAGGAGTGGCAGCAACTATAAGTGCATCCTCCTCCCCCTCTCTCCACCTCCAACAGCAAGGGCATTTCCTGCTCATTATTAACCGTACGGCCATGTGGCAAGAACTTCTGATGCACTACGTCACAGTTATCGAAAAAAACAGTGAGCAATACCTTGATATTTGATCGAACTTAGCGTGCTTTTTGGTCTTGGCTCCACTGGACTCCTCCATTGGGACGATTGAACTTTGGTTTCGATATCGTAACCATGTACTCATGATTCGTCACTAGTTATGACTATTTTGATCAAATTTGGATCGCCATTGACGTAATTTAACGATTTCTGAGCGATGCTCATGAGACGGTTTTTTTGATCAGAACCTAACCTAACTTTTATGCCTCTCACCAACAAACTAAACATGCTAAACAGCTGAAATTGTAAACATATATTCGACACGAGTATAGTTGTTAGGTAAATCCATCTAATCGAATAACGTGGAAGTTTGAAACACATCAAATATAATGTTCAATCATCGAAAGTAAAGCCAGCGGAATGCATCGAACCATCCGGTATATCTGATGCCCCTCGTTGGGCGCCAGTCAGGGACGATTCTATACAATAAAAGTTGGAAACTTCGAGAAAACACTCGATTCTAGTGACTCCGATTTCGAATCTTTCCTAATTGAATCTTGAATATGAACGAACTCAGTGGAATTAATCTTAAAATTAAGTATTTCCCTGACCGTACAATCGCTTATACAATTAAGCGCTTTCATCCATGTTTAACCGAAATATAGAAGGAAATCGACTGGTTCAGTGTTATAATGAAATCTCAATCTAACCCAAGAATTGGAAGTTCATTTTAAATTGAGTTACCAGTAGATAATCTGCCCACATCTTCCTCCCTTCTTCCAAAGCAGACTCTCTCAACTTAATGACATGGTTGAAGCGGTCTGTTGTCCAATGAGCTGGTCCAGTCTCATGAGGATACCGGGGATCCTCCTCGATGAATTCCGTGTTGATAGAGTGGTAGTCGTTTTTTACCGAACCTATCCATAGCCTTAATATTTCTAGACTCTCATCAGAATTATGGTCGCTCCTTATCCTGAAAAAAACGGTTCAAGTGAAATCTACCGAGGATATAATCGATACTGTTGTAAATAACGCATATGGGGAAATAAATGTTACAAATTTTGTATCTGGGCAAGTACGACCCTGACAAACACGTTTTTTGTTTTATGCAGCTCTCAAAATAAGTATCAAAAGTTTTTATGACAATATGGTCAAGACCAATGAGCAGGAGTATTGATGTTTTTGCTCAGTTCTGCCATCTACTAATCAGAGGACGAACCAAACTAGCGCTAGTCTAACACACACAAAATGTTCAAATCATGTTCTATGGTCAGTAAATACACCCTACTGCGACATCTGTCGGGAAAAGCAGTGGGCTTTTAGTGTTTGAAGGTCTCTCAAAATTCACGGGCATTGTTGTCTTCAAAATATGTTTTGAATTGTCCATAAATGTTGAAATTTAACACTAGGGCAATCATTGGTCGATTGCATCTCCAAATTTTTTTTCTAAATGAATAGTAGAGTATTTTCGCAACGTTGTCAGATTGAACTACTCCATTTTCTATACTCCCCGACACTATACAAGAAACGACATTTTTCAAGGATATATATATGTAACTTATTTCCTAGCATAATCGGTGGAATATCTTTTGAGTAAATAATGCAAAACAACTTTTTCATTATAACGTCCACACCCTGTTATTTCGAAAACAATGAAGATTAATGATAATGTTTATATGACCTTTCTTTCATAAAATATGTAACTGTCACACATTCAATGTAAATATTCTCATGCAGAATTCTAATTTATTTATTGTTCACACTGTTATACGTATTTCTCAACAAAATTACAATCCATCTGATCACAAAGGAACGTTTGTATTAATATTAATTCCTTTTATGTATGATATAAAATAACCTCAATTCTTCAATAATTTTGTGAACGTAAATGTTATGTCATCATTACAAAACTATCAGACTTTTGTAACAATTATCTCAAACTAATTTGAGATGTGGCAACGTTGCAGCCCAATGTTTTGATTTGTTACTTCCATGTGATACAATCTCACCTGTATATAGAAAGTTAATGAGGTGATATCATTCACTTTCATCCCAATAAACTCACCTTAAAGACATCCGATCTTTTGGATAATCCAGCCGTTGAAAATTCGACAAAAAATAGGGTAAAGTGTGGGCTTTATTCCTCACCAAAATCGACACGAGTAAGGTAGGTTTTTTGTATTCGGCACCCGAGTGGTTTACCACGACAAAAAAAGCAAATAAAACCGGCACGATTCGCATTTTTCAGTTCCACCCCGGACTAGTTTCAATTCGGGAAGTTATCAAAATAAAACACCAACGTGGAACACATTTTTTAGACAAGAACCATTCTTTGGTTAATAAACATTGAAGATGGCGGGAAATTTGAATTCAAAACAGACAAAGTTATTATTTTTGTGTGGGGTCAATGTCCGGATATTGATGATGCAAGACTAGTTATTTAGGATAGATGATCAACTTCTGGAGCATAATATGAAGTCATTCGATAGCGAGATACTCGAACGGGAGTAACAGAAACTTATGGATTAGAAGTTTTATTGCTTTCATTCCATTATTCCATAAAAAATAAAAACTTTTTTTGAATCCATTTTGATTCAACTGTATCTATACTTGATAGTTATCTACCCCTACTTTGATTTTCATTGACAGAAAAGAAGATGAGTTTTTCCGTTATGGTGGTATTCTAGAAACAATGCTTGATTTGAAAAATGTTATCTCAATAATGATTTACTTAGAAGATTTACCTACTTGCGCTTCTAATAATTTTTTTTTTTCGTTTCTTTACATATCTCATTGTTCCCGTTCAATGGAGACATTCGTGATTTTCCACTAGACAGCAGTTTTCTATGCAGTTGTTAGTTTTGCTATTTCGTCCATAGATGTCGCCAATCTCGGCAAGTTAAAGAATGTACCTTTGAATATAGACCAGCATATACAAAGAATAAACCAAGGGCCTTGATGCTTGATCGAGCGGGAAATACTTCTTACGTTATTGACGTATGGCATGATATTTATTGCACCTTCAAATGGTTCTTGCCCTGCCGTAGATGTTAAAAGCCCTGTCCGCCTATTGCAGAGTATTTCAAAAACCTTAATTCAAGTTGTAATGAAGTTCAAGGAATACTATGACCAGACATTGACGTAAAAAGTACTGCTTGTACGATCAAGCGTCTGCTCGAATGCAGCAAATGACAGGTCTGAATATCGTATTCAAACTATCAGTAACAATCAACAATATCTTCCAGAATGATTGTTTATCATAAAGAGCAGTATTACATTAAATGAGTGAAACAACCATTATTTGAATATTTGTAACCGTTTTCCCTGAGTTTGACGTTCGTACTGTAAAACATAGATGTCACCCGCTCCGTAGTTTTCCCAAAAAAAAGATAACTAGAGAATCACAGAGAAAAGTTGTTTTCTATTTGAAGTCCAGTTTTGTTATATAGATGTCGCTACTGCCAATAAAGCGTCAATAAATACTCAACTAATGATTTTTCAAAATGCATTCTATAAATTTAAATGAAGTGGCTGCTTCTCATTTCCCTTCAAACAACGCCAACTGGCATGACGTTGTTTGAAGAGAATTCAAACAACATGGGAATGTTTTCTTCTAAATGAATCAAAACCTTCAGGTTTTATCCGAGAGATGTCGCTATAGCCAAAAAAGCGTCAATATTGTGTTTGGAAAACGCGGCAACGCGGCTTGTCTCATAACGATTTTATAATATTGCATTCTAATTCTAATCATTCTATAAATATAAATGAAGGTGGTTGGTATGTCCTATAAGAAAAACAATTCAATAACCAACATTTTTCCAACGATTTCTGTTTGTGTGATGACATTTTCGTGGAACTGAGTGCAACCCCATGCAAAGTGCGCGATGGCATTCGATTTCCTTCTCTTCCCCTCGTGCATCCCACACGTTCTTTTATTAAATATAGAACCACAATTTAATGCGGTTATGTTGGTTTCTTGATGAGAATGGAGCTGAAGGATTGTTCGAGGTATGTTTGGTGGTTGGTCCCTGCATCTTCAACTGAGGGTAAGAAAGTCATCCATGTTTCACCCTTAAAAGGGAGTTTGATTTGGCCACTGTTGCATCATCTCAACCATAGAGTTTTGGTTTCTATAAAAGATCCGTCGAGGCATATCTTGTTTCGAATTTTAAAGACGAGTTTATATTACACATTAGTTTTTTTTGTGTTCTGAGTGTGACAAAGTAGTGCGGTACAAACTAATCGGGATTCACAAGCAACTATTTGAAATAATTACAAAACTACCACTTAAAGTGCATCTATTTGAATTAAATGAATACCTACTTGATTGTCACCGGAAACCTATCATAGAAAGCGGCATCAAAGCGTCGCCGAGAACCGAGAAATGCAGCTAATGATCACTATTTTAGTTTCAGACAGGGACGGACTTGCCGTATATTGATTACACTAGTCGAAATGTAATGTTTTATTATGGATCTCTAGATATATGTTTTTTTCAATTTAAGTGAAAAATTCTTTTAGGGCATATTTGTAGATTGATATAATGTACTCAATATGTCTAATACCTTTGTATAGAGACTATATATTCAACATGGGCTGAAAAGTCTCGGGACTAACACATATATGGCGCTAGACTTAATGCATTCACCGCTTTTTCTAACCTTCAAAAGGAAGCTGTTGAGATTTCATGATATTCTACTAACAAATTTGTAAGTCATTGTGCTAAGAGTGACACTACTTTTGTTATTTTCAAAACAATGGATCAAAAACAATTTCGGATTTGGATTTTACACTGCTTCTTGATGGGAAAATACCGTTCAAGTGAAGCAATGACTTGAAAAGTGTTATAAGGACTCCGCTCTATCAGAAACAACAATTAAACGTAAGTTTAATTAAACGTGGTCGCAGAGAAACCGAAGATGCAGTGGACGTCCAAATGAGGCATCAGTAACACCAGAAAACATAAAAAAATACAAAATCGTTTTGAATCATCGAAAAGTGAAGTTGGCTGAGTTAGCTGACATTGTAATGATGTCAAAAGAAAGTGTTGGCTTTATATGGCATGAGTGGGTGCCGGGCGAGCTCACTGTTGACCAAAAACAAAAACGTCTTGATGATTCTGAGTGGTGTTGGACAATGTTCAAACATAACAAACCGGAAATTTTGCGTCGATATGTGACAATGGATGAAACATGGATCCATCACTTCATCCTGAATCAAAACGGTCGTCATCTGAGTGGAGAGCAACTGGTGATCCTCGTCCAAAGCACCTGAAACCACAACAATCGGCTAGAAAGGTTGTAGCGTCGGTATTTTAGGATGTGTGTGGTGTGATATTTATGGTGTATAAAAATAACGCGTTTTTATTCGTAGGCTCATGTGTTATGTAGCCCATGTGTTATGTTTAACGTAAGTTTATTTATTAAGTAAATTGAGATACAACCAACAGAAATCACCAATATGTAATACTTTTTGATGATGATTATCAAATGAGCCATCAATGCAAACGCATTATAGTTACTTCCTCTTATAGATAACCAACTAAATCACAAACTGTCTCAACCGTATCGTATATCCGACTATACCTCTTTTTGACACTGGCGTGTTGATTAAATTTGTAGTCATTTCTCAGGATGAGTTGTTTATCGTGTCTAAATCATTCACTGATTGTTTTAATCATCACGATGAACTCCTTCCTCTGCTTACTTTCCGAAACGTCGATGGCTCTTTAAAAAAGTTGAGTAACTACAAAAATCTTCATTTTTCATCAATACTTTTATTTTGAACCACAATTTATAAATACTACTAATTATTTACTACTTAATTAGTTTTATATTATGCAGTAGCTTTTTTAGGAGAACTTAGAGCCCCATTACACTTGATTTGGATTTATTGGTTTTTCAAATTGTAGATGTAAATCTATTGGAATTGCTTTTTCCACACTAGAATAAAAATACTGTCACTCGATGCGAGTCACTCAAAATTTTCTCTAGAATTTCCAGCTATGGCAGGAAAGTCAACCGGATTCACCAAATCTCCGCAAACGACTCCCTTAACCTCAATTCAACTAAACCGCGAATATTTATCAGTCTCGAAACACCTCGCAAAACGGTGCCCTGAACTACCTCGTATTTCAGTACCTCCAGAATTCACTCCCCGAAGGGGAGGTGGCTAAAAGCCCCCCCCCAAACAACCCTCGGGTCCGCGCACGACTCCCTTCATCTCAATTCAATTAAACCGCGAATAATTAACAAATCTGAAACCCTTCGCGACACCGGGTCTCCAGAACCATGCCCGGAGGTCGAAGCGACCTAATCAAAAGACCGCGATATATCGAATAAGTCCGCAAGAATTCACGACTAGTCCCCGACATTTCTGATGTGAGCCTGCTACTGATATATAGATGTCACTTTAAGGGTTATTTTGATATTTTCGTTGTCTTGAATAAGAAGTATGTAGACTCTCGGATGCTTCAATTTTTTCATGTCGTCAACCTGTGAGCTCATAAAATAAATTTCGATAGTTCTTGTACTTTTAAGTACTTTTTGACTTTTATTCTAAATGGGGTACACAGACTGAATAACATATTTCAGACCCTTAACGAAAGATAATGAAATGAATGAAGTACTTGGGAACAGTACATTATAACAAAACAGTTTTTCAAAACTGTTTTCTGTGGAAAATCAGTAAAACGGTTTTCTGATACTTAGTCAGCCAATCACCTCAGATTACACTGAATTTCCACTTGAGATATGAACACCGCTGTGAATGGTCATTCACATTTCTGATAAAACAAAACGCCAGTGGAGTGCAATGTTATTATATTACTCGTACATCATCGGCAGTAGTACATTGGATAATTGAAAACAATTTACTTGTTATTTGCTTAAGGACGATAAAATTTCGGCTGCTGTCTTATCGGGAATTGAAAGAGATACTCGTATCTACCTCTAGTGATAGAAATCGGAGCAAAGTTTCTTTTCGAGACATGCTGCCGTGAAGCAAGTGTGTAGATTATTGATAAAATGTCAGGTGAGTTTTGTATCGATTGGCCTACATTTTTCAAGATTGAGAATATTTTTGAAGTGGCGATTTTGGTCCTCACAAATTAATTCAAAATATTTCAGTCACACCCGCCTGATTAATTTTATAGAAGATTATTGCCGTCTCTCTCATTTTCTAAAGACAAAACAAGTAATATTATAGTACATAATTCTTATAGTATTTTTCGAAAATAAAAGACTAGAAATTTCGAAACAGTAATCTCTATGCCGAAACTAAGTCATTGTAGAAGATCATTCAATTGTTTGTGGGTTAAGAAATTCGAAACGGAGGTATTGTTTTTCGGAAACCGATGTTTCTAGTGATGAAACAAATGAAAATTTATACCGGTTCAACCGGAAATTAAAACCAAAGGCAAAAGTTTCGAATGGAACCCTGTATATTCTTTTGGGTCATTTGATAGGACGTAACATTCTCTTTCAACGATAAGTAAGGGTACATTTCTGTTTTATGGGCAAAATGAGGGTACGGCAATGGGAAACCCGATGCCTCCTTTTATGGCTAATCAGTTCATGAGCAGATTTGACCCTTTGTTTGGTCTTATGGAATCAATTTCGGGTCAGACACGAAATTAAATCCATTGCCGCAGTTGGTGTTGTTCTCATGGCTCCTGTGATGTTTAAACAAGCCAGTCTCTGTATTTGATATAATTTTTGGATGGCCGTTGCTTGTAGAACTTACGGAGCAATGGGTGAAAGACCCCATGCGCGTCCAACTGTCCTTCGACATTGCTCATAAACCACATATGCTCTTTCTGCTCTTCTCTGTAGGTGAGAGTTCCATGTTAGCGTCCTGTCGAGGGTAGTACCAAGGTATTTCACCTCTTCAGAGAAGTTTAGTTTGCTTTTGAAGATTTCGGGAGGTTTTAAGCCCGATAAACTTCTTTTCCTGGTGAAAAGGACCATCTCAGTCTTCTTGGGATTGATCGACAGTGAGTGTTCCTTACACCCTGTTCTTATTAATTTGAGCCCATCCTGTCCTCTATTGCACAGTGTGTTCACAAATTTGCCGGTCTGCAAGATAACTATGTCATCTGCATATGCAATTGTGTAGAATCCATTATTGTTGAGGTGATTAATCAGGGTATCCATGTAAAATACAGATAAATATTAGAGAAAAATGCAGGGGATAGTCACTAACCTAGAAAAAATACATAACAAATTAGAGGTATTAAAAAAAAGGTAGTTCAGCATAGGAACAATAACACGTAGTAGTTAGGTAGTAGTTAGATACTACTAACGTAGTGTAGTTAGGCCACTGGCATGTAAGAACACTATTATAGTAGTATTTGGTCATAATGATCTTCCGAGGACGCTAACTTGTTGAGTGAAATGCCCGTCGAGAGACCGCAATTTTGTTCTGGTGTTGGTAAAGTGTTCTTGATAGATGTGAATTTCTAATCAAAATGGCGACGTAGAAGCCATTTTTCAAAATTAAATATGGCGGCAGTCATCTATGGAAATACATTTCTCGGTTTTTGAATAAAGATTCAAGAATTCAACGGTTTTTTATACACCGCCCCATCCATTATTATTCGCTAGTACAAATTCATCTAATATACTGCATAATGGGATGGGACAGTGTATCAAAAACCTCCCTTTCTTCACTGAAAGTAATTTAAAAGAAGTTCCTGAAAAAATTCTCAATAACATTGTTTTAGTTATAAATTGAATGAAGCAAGTGATGCATTTCATCTGTGATACCTCTTTTGCAAAAAAGCCTGAACACTTGAAACAAAACTAAACTATATCCATCCAACAAACAAAGTAACCCAAACAAAGGTAGATGCATAATAAAAGCATGATCACCACGCACATTTGCATCTATTGGGTAAAATAAATGAGCACCCTTACGCTGGCCAATCAGATTCAACTGCAATCGGCTGACCCTGTATTAAATCATCGCATAATGCAAATATTTCAGACTTCCTTTTGTACTTCACGCTATGTATTAAAATTAATCAATTGTATTATTTCATCCACTCACTTTCATTGATATAAGCGCATACCTGTTTTTTTTTTAATATTTCAATGAGAATTTTCTCAGTCACATACAAACATCTGATGCTTCGTGTGATCTTTTATATTTATCCATAAACCTAAAGTATATTCGAATATACATAATTACTTTCAAATGAATATTTTCATAATTATTATTATGTATTAGCAACATCGGTACCAGAGCAGAACTCAGGTCTATCGATGTCAGTATGCGACTCATCAGATTTGAAATCGAAACAAAAAGTATTTTTTTATAATATTACATTGGTGACCATTTCATTTATTCACCTACTTTTCTTAATTTTTACAGAGACCAAAAATCCAGAAAATGGGGGTAAAGTCCAGCTCAAGCGAGAACTGGGCCTATTCTCCGCCGTGAATTATATATTAGCCGTGATGATTGGCTCAGGAATTTTTGTATCACCAGCTTCAGCCTTGAAGTATGCCGGATCTGTAGGAATGTGCCTTGTGACGTGGATAGCATGCGGAATGATATCTCTACTAGGTGTGAACCTAATTCAACAGGTGGAGTTTGTGGAGTTACACACTAACAATGTCTAACTCCGAACACGGTAGTGTGGAGTTAGACACTGTTAGTGGAAACATTTTTTGACATTTCACTGAACCGTTTACTTAGACACTTCAACTAGGAAATGACTAATATTACGTTGTCCAGAACGTTTTTGAATTTTTACGTTACCGTAAGCTTAGACAAAATTCGGAAGTGACTAATGCCACGGGGTCGTGAAAGGTTGTGTCTGACAGTTATCATGGTAGGCACAAAGACAACTGAGATTATGATATTTGTTAGTGTGCGTGCACGAATAATAGTTGGGAAAAAAGAGTTTAGAAATGTTTCACTATTTCGATATTAATTCCCATCAATTATTCGAAAGACCGAAAAAATACATGTGTGCTGCCTATTCGAAACGTTTTCATTTTAGGGGCCTTGGCTTACTCCGAACTGGGAACTCTGGTACCACGATCGGGATCGGAGTACGCTTATTTTGTCGATTCCTTCAGCCCACTGCATAGGTTTTGGGGCCCTCTACCTGCCTTCATTTACTCGTGGATTATGACTGTAGCTATACGACCAGCAGAAATCGCTGTGCTCTTGCTCACTTTCTCACAGTATCTTTGTCAGCCAATCCTTGACTTCTTTTGTATGAGCGACCAAGAAGAAAACCAGAAAGTGATCACTGCTATTGCCTTAGTTGCTTTGGGTAAGTTTTTTTGAGTTAGTTAAACAATGTTTAATGTAAAATCAAGTCAAGTATTCAAATATTATATAACTATTGAGAATTTGGGTCTTTTTATTCATGTAGACTCTGAATTCTTTCTAGTAACCACAGTACTGATATTTCTTGAAATATCGGCCTCGCGTCACTTTCCTGCTGATTTGTTCTATATTTTAGGTGTCACTACTTACATCAACGTCAGCAGTGTGAAGCTGTATGTCAAAATTCAGAATATATTTGGTTCTTTCAAAGTGATAGCTTGTTTGATAGTAATATGTGGAGGAATCTACGAAATTTTCAGAGGTAGTGTAATCATTCTGCTCACTCAAATAATTCTGGAGGCTCTTTATTTTCCTATGAAGGTTTACGAATTGATTTAAGCAGATGATTTTTAGGAAACACCGACAATTTAACGAAAGGTTTCGCGGGAACCAGTACTTCGCCCAAAGACTTTGCTTTAGCTTTCTACAGCGGCCTTTGGGCATACGATGGATGGTGAGTGGAAAGTATTTTCTGAAAGTTATTTGAGTCGATTCTCTGCAAGGGATTTTTTGGCTTAGTCCTGTGTTTTCAGGTCATCTGTGACAGCTATAACTGAAGAGTTGAAACGGCCCGAAGTGTGAGTTTATCATTATTATCACCACAATCACCAAGTCTCCACAATCCTCATTCAATCTTGTAGTAACAATGGAGAATTACCCACTCTTCCTAATTTCTCAAACTTTCATTATTTCTACCAGGTTTTGTACGTTTTATAGTCATGTGTCTTTGTAGCTCCATATTTCAACAAATATTTCGTGATATTTATTGATCGACAGAGAATTTCGTTCATTTTTTTCTAAATTTTGAGCGATTTTCGTCCAAGTATCTTTAGAAGTCAAATTGAACTTTGTCACCGGTGGAACCTCCGTCAATCAGGACCAGACAAAACGGCCTTCGTCGATTCCATCGAATCTCGAGCACACAATTCGTATGCTGACGGAATTAATCAACCTGTGTTTCGTTGGCAAAAGTGCCCCGATTCAAATGTCGCTTATATCGATTAAATCGAACAAGTATTCACTGATATATTACAGTTTAAAGTAGAATCACAGAAACGGACAAAACCTTTGCAACAACCTAATACTTTGTGATGCGAATTAGCTTAGAAAATAATTATCAAAGATTCAGATTATTCCTCCATATTGATGACGTACTAATTAGAATTGAATATCTCCGGAATTCACTGTTATAACTAGTACGTGAGGTCACCTGGATCTACACTGCAATAATAAGACCTTGTTAACGTACGGAGCCATTGCATGGGGACCGAAAGTTCTACAAGCAACGGCCATCCAAAAATTATATCAAATACAGCGACTGGCTTGTTTAAACATGCTATGGGCTCACACTCACCCTCCCTACTCTACAGATACAGAAGTAATACGTCATTAACTCCTGGGATGTTTGGCGTGCAAAACGATTTTTTCGATATTGATAATATTCGACAGTGATTTTTCCCGTAAGCTTTAGAAACTTATCCATATTATAGGCCGAATTACAAAATCAAAATGAAGTTCGGATAACAACATACTGTTGGGTATTTGCGTCATAAAAATGTCTAGGTCGAAATAAGTTCCGAAAATAGTAGAATAGAATAGAAGAATAATGAAGGTGTTGAGGAAGTGTACTATTCATAATTACTACTACTACTATTTATCTCCAAAACAATTGTAGTAGCTTCCCCGATCATTATCTCCCACAAAAATGCATTAATCGGGGAATTTTCCAGCAATATCCCAAGAAGTATATTTATAGCCGTTCCCATGGTGACTATTTTGTATGTTTTCATGAACATGTCCTACATGACAGTGTTGACCCCCAACGAGATGATAACCGCACAGGCCGTAGCAGTAACATTCGGAGAGCGGATATTCGGGTCATTTTCAGCGATCATCCCGCTAGGCGTAGCCCTCAGTACGTTCGGATGCGCTCTTAGTCTTCAGTTCGGAGTCACAAGGTGAGGCGTCCGTTATTCAGGAAAAATTAATTCGGTATTCCACGAGGTTACATTTCTGGGCCCCTGCTCGAATCTTGTATGACAAACCACTCCATGCAATTTCAGGTTGTGTTACGTTTCTGGGCAAGACGGTTTCATGTTGGAAAGCCTGTCTTACGTGCACTTCAAAAAACTCACCCCTCTACCGGCCGTTCTGTTGCAAGGCATGCTCGCTTTCCTTTTCATCTCCACTGGAGAAGTGCTGGAGCTGATTGAGTTTGCGAGTTTTTTGATATGGTTCTTTTACGGAGTGGCGATGATATCCTTATTGGTGATGAGGAAGACGATGAAAGATGCTAAGCGGCCGTATAAAGTGAGTTATGAATTATATTTGATCGAGTATTAGACTGGTCGAGTAGGAATGCATCATAGAATTTTAGTTGGTACATTTGTCAGAACTTTCCAATTTGTCAACTAACACTCCGTATAATACATTCTCAATAAATATCTCACCCGGCAAAAATAATTTCTAAAATGAGAAAATATTTCTATATCGATTGTATTTTTGTTACAAGTAATCTGGATTTTTAACGGTGCCGTAATAATAGTTACTGCTACAATTTTTCTGCCTTTTTCACAGAACTATATCTAGTTGTAGTTCTGTGGCTGTTTTAAACGTCGCTGTAATATTATTTGTCAATTCTGAAAGGTGGCTAAGTTGTCGGGGACGTGTATGAAGTTGAGGTGGGAAATTATTTTTATAACCACAAGTTTCATTTTTTTCTTCTCCTTGAATGGCTTTCATTATTGACAAGACTGTTTGAAAAAATTGAAACTGGGAAGTTGGAAAAAAATTGTTATCTGTGGTATATTGCAGGTGCCGTTGGTAGTGCCTATTTTTATATTCGTAGTAGCTTTGTACCTGAGTGTTATTCCAATTGTTTTGGACCCGACTCCTAAGTATCTGCTGGCCTTGGGATTCATGCTGATAGGCATAGCAATTTATTCATGGTTCGTTTACTACAATCACAGGCCGAAAACTATTATGGGTAGGAATTTTCATGTTTTTTTGTGATACAATAATATATTATTTTTTTGTTGCAGAATCAATCACTCGCTGTGTTCAGCTTTTGTTTAGAGTTGTTCCACCAGAATCTGATTAAATTTTTACATTCAGAATATCGTGCAGTTTTATTTGGATGTTATTAAATTTTCGTTGAATCTCATCGGAAAAACCACTTCTATGATCTTTCATTCTTTCGGAGAAAGATCATTTTGTTCGACCAATATAAAAGTAGGAACAAAACCAGAAACTGACTTTTATATTCCTGACCGTTTAATTCCGAAGTTGTTTTTTAATTAGCTCGCTTAAATCTATTATTCCATGAGCTATGTACATTTCTCTTATTTTTTGAAGTTGGATAAACCTAACTCTACTTATTTAGAGAGAATAGGAAGGTTGCCATCGTCCATAAAAATGTTTGTATCGTGATTTCAATTCTATTCGGAAATTACTCTGAATATGGAAATATTCAATAGTCTGCTGAATGCTGAGCTGGATAATTATGTATGATAAATTCACATGTATGACGATTTCGCAGAGTATGATAGTCTGTAAAAAATTACAAACTCGTCCATAATTTAATCAAAATATGAACGGAATGGGCAAATTCAAGATATTTGCCTGAACGGTCTATCTATACTAATGTTACATGTATTTAGATTTCACTATAAATATTCATTAGTCACGCCCTCTTTACTATATTTTATTCCATATTGAAATTACGTTCGTGCAACTTTTCGTTAATTTGGCAACATGCTAACCTAGTTTCTGTCCCGACAGATTGGTGAAATATGGATGTAAAATAGTAATTACCGAAAGTTAGGTAAATCATTATTTTAATATTACCCACTAATTAATTGAGCCCAAATTTTTTGTTAGAGGCTAAACTAAATTGTCTATAAAAAATAGAAATTCTAACAATGGTTACGAAAAGAAAATTATCAAAATACAAAAATTTGGAATTTATTCTCATACGTTCATATGAAAAATTGAGAATAAATGGTTTCAATAATTTCGGAAATCTTTAGAGCACCGCTCTAAACAACCTGTATGGCGTTTTCATTGTCTGAGTTGTTCAGGGCATGGTCCGAAAGCAACCGATTACTAACCGGTACTTCTCGAAAGTTTTTGACAGCGGTTACCGAATAGACTATAAATTCGTAGTTACTTTCGGAACACAACACAAAAAATGACAGCAGTGGATAACCGACCAATATTTGCTAGTGACTTGATTGATATTTGGTTAACCATTTTAAAGGAAACTGTGATATGAATATAACACTTTTTCAGGAATATGACATAGGTGGTTAGTTTTGGACAGCATAACCAAGAATGTTCTTACTTTCGGATCATACCCTTGATACAATTTGTAATACTGTAAATGCCGTATGTTCGTTTAATACAAATCTGAGCACTTGATTGACAGATTTTTTATATGTCAGTTGTCATAATACAAAACAGTTTGTTGAGTTGTAGGTATTTTCAGAGAATTATAATCTTTTGATAACAGTTTTGACTTGTTTCACAGCACATCATCGTGTTCACAGAATAGTTCATGACATATTTTTAGCTACATAATAATGGCTCTCTCAACTCTAGTCATCCTTAAATAGTTGTAAAAAATGTTCGCATTTTGAAATAAAAAAATAAGGAATCACAGTTCTGTTGTAGGAATAAACTTCATCATATGTTAGAGGTTTTGTGATGACAAATAAATGTTAATTGATCGTTCGGATAAAATCGAGCGTTCGTTGACTATGTGATCACGTGGTGGCTAACCTGCGTCTGCTCGCTCGGCACCAGATTTTTGAAACCGAACACACCTGTAGTAGTTACTTTTCCGATGCCGTAATATTAGACACTTCCAAAAAGTGTTGTTTTGTGACAAACGTGGATATAACTCCTGACAAATCATGTTTTCAAATTGAGTGGAAAACTGAAAGCAATTTAATTCCAGTGGAAAACAAAGAATTGATTAGTCATGGCTGCAAAAATCTTTTTGGGAATTTGGAACAAAACTCAACTGCGAACGATAAAGATTGAAAATGTTGATTTGGAAGGAAAAGTTGACAACATAAAGTGTGAGGCCCTGAAATTACTGGAGAAATCACCGTTAGACATAGGTACTAGACAACCATACTATATACTAATAACTTCATAGTAGATAAAACTTCGTTCTTTGTAGCTTTGTCGTTTAATGGAATGCTTCTGCTAGCTCAACACACTCTGTCCTCATACGGAATATCTTCCGGATCAATTATTCATGTTCTCGAGACACCATATCTCCTTGATGATGATTATTCCTATGAAGAACTGATGCAACCGACGGAAGTTGTGGCAGCATTCAGATCACTTATTACGTCCTCTGGCTATAGAAGTACCCTACAGGTAAGTTGTCTCTAGTTTACAGCATGTAGTACGTGTTAATGAAAGGATATATGTATTTTTCAAGTATTCAAGGTTTTCCTATAATTACATGTATATATGAAAAACTGAACTATAAGCCGAAATGAATTCTGTTTATAAGGCAGAGAATGTCTTTTCACAGATGTAACTCAAGTTTTAAAGCTGAATCACATGGCATGATATAACTTCAGAGGATAAACTTTACTCTCTAAAATGCCTTAAAAAGGTCAAAAAAACACTGTGGTGGCCTCCTTTTATTCATTTAGGCTCAATTAGACCGCTTCAAGAAAATTTAAAATGGCATCTGTGATTTTTTTATTGGAAACTAACTTATTCAGCAACTGACATTTTATCGTCTCCCCAAGAAACTTACCACTATCAGTAACTTGTTGTGTTTAATGATTTTGTCCATCAAAAAAGGGCTACAATACTTATTTTAACGATTCAGAGGTCAAAATATGCCTCCTTCTTCAGAAATGTACAAAATTTAAGTTCATACATGATTATTTTTCATTTCGCAACTTCTGATTTTCTCTCGATGAATAGAGAGTTTTGAAGTTAGGATTTGGTTCCTCCTAAATACGCCAACTTGGTAGTGAAAACTTCAAGAATAGTATTGTATATCTGGCGATTATACTATAATTCCAATATAGTAGGCACTAAATTCTTAGAAACGACTGACGTTTTTGCCTTAATCGGTCTCTTGCAGTGACGTACGGAAATTATGCTAAACAGATAAGGAAAAATGATGAAAAAATATGTAGAATCACAATCTTGACAACAATGTTTTCGTTCTAGTCAGAATGCTTATAAAAGAAATAAATCTACAGTTGGTGCAATTAATCAGCTCATTAAACATGCGCTGGAAATCTTGGAAAACAAACAGCAGACTTTAGGATCATTTTTTTATTTGAGCAAAACCTTTGACCTCGTTCAGCACTGTGTAACACTGTTACACAAATTGCAGTTTTATGGTATACGTGGCTCTGCATTGAATTGGGTTGGATCTTACCCGACTTATCGTAGTCAGCTGGTCTGTGTGAATGGAATGAACTCTGAAAGAAAATATATATCAAGAGGGGTACCTTAAGGCTCTGTTTTGGGACCCGTTCTGTTTTTGGTTTTTATAAAAAATGATCTTCCGAAATTTTATTCAAAAGCTTCCATTACTGTTATTCTTATGGACGATACCAACATCTTGGTATCATGCGGGAACTTTGTCCGAAATAATTGTCAAAGCTAATGGAGTACTAACTGATCGAATTTCTGAGTGGCGTTCTATAAATGGCCTGCTGCTAAATCTCAAATGCTCAACTTTGTTACTAAAAATACAACAATTGATAAAAGCTATTTGGTTGGATTAAATAATGAAACTTCACATCAAGTTAATTGTACTGAATTCTTTTGTATTGATATTGATAATAAACTTTCCTGGAAGTTCCATGTTGATAGTATCAAACTGAACCTCAGTAAACATATATATTTACTTCGTCGGTTAAAACAAACAGTCTCTCTTGATGTTCTCAAGCTTTTATACCACAATTTAATTCAGTCAGTAATTTCCTATGGTCTTGAACAGTACTTAGGGCTCTGTGGATGAGTTTCTCCTTGAATCCTAATTTGATTGTAGTTTATTAACTTTTTTTTATGTATGTTTTATGTTTTATATTGTCTTTTAAGCTTTTATACCACAATTTAATTCAGTCAGTAATTTCCTATGGTCTTGAACAGTACTTAGGGCTCTGTGGATGAGTTTCTCCTTGAATCCTAATTCGATTGTAGCTTATTAACTTTTTTTTATGTATGTTTTATATTGTCTTTTTTATGTTTGACCTGTTGAATCAGCGAGTATTTTATGATGATGTTATGTTTTTTTGTCTAATGTGATTGTGGAGGAAAACTTATTCAAAAAATGTTTGATTGATTGATAATTGCAATAATATTTCTGGGAATTTAGTGAATACTATTATGGAATTGAACAAGTGTTCAATTGTGTTTATGTGTATATAGTACTGATTTTAATATTTTCTTGCATCTTCGTATTGTTTTGTTATATTTTTTGAAGAAAGCTTTGTAACCACAATAAGATATTTATTCACCTTCAAAAATTGTTACAAAAAACAGTATGTTACAATAGTCAGACAACAGTTATTTGTTCAGGTCGGTACGTCACAATATTGTAGAGACTATTCTCAAACTAAAAATATGTTTAAGAATAAAAAAAGATGTTAGTGTATCAAAAACTAGATATTTACATATATAAAACCAGTCACACTTATACATATATGAACAGTTTTAACTTTAGAGGCACACAGATGGAAAACACAGAAACATTAATCATGAAATCTGTAGTTCACACTATTGACAAGCAAAAATATTAGCATTTAGATCCAGGAATGAAGAAAAATTTAATTTGCATCATATAGTGGATTCAAAAGCAATGATTGCTTTAGTTGGTACTTTAATTTTTTAGTTGTGTACTACTTCTATTCCACTGGTATTTGGTTGTACAGTTTCATTGGCAAATATTCAGTTTTTTTTTTGTTTTTTCATTATTCACTTTTGACATTCTATATTTATTTTTATTTCGTTCATCACGTTCATGAAGATCTGTTACCCAAATATATTTATCTTCATTTTGATGTGTCCATAGAATTGCCACCATTATATATATATACAAGGTTATGTCAAGATTTTCATTTCAATAAAAATTGGCTTGGCGTGTGTTCTGTTGCCCAAACTGGCCATAGTTTTTATAATTCTCTTTTGGCTCACCAATACTTGACGACAAGCCGGGCTTGTTCCCCACAATAGTCGACAGTTGAGAAAAAACCATTGAGTCATAAAACACTTCTCATTTCGTATCATTTCCTTTTTCACAGTCACCTTTCACATGGGATACTCCTTTGGGGTAGATCTACTTACGCGAGCAGAGCTTTTTGTATGCAGAAAAAAGCCATCAGAATTATAGCTGGAGCTCCATTCGACGCACACTGTCAGCCACTATTTGAAAAGTTGGGAATATTGTCTTTGCTCTGTATGTTGATTTTATACTCACTGTTTGGAATACATAAAAACAAAATACTAGTCTCCAAACACTCGAGATCATCATAATTATGAAACTAGAAATGCGAGACAACTCAGACAGCCAAAATTTAGACTTGAAATTCTCTGGATGTTAAATTATTTAACAAACTTCCATATAATGTGACTGAATTGAATTTTAGTTTGTTCAAAAGGAAAATCAAAGAGTACCTTTTACGAAATTGTTTTTATTCTGTACAAACTGATTGATCTTATTTAAATTGATTGAATACAAAATTGAATTGAATTGGTCAGTATATGGTATGCTCCATTTTAATAAATGATTCAACCTCTTTGTTATCTGAAATAATCAAATCCCTACACTTCATTTCATAAACAATAAATTATGACGTATGGTCATTACAGAGAATATTCAGAAAAGAAGTCCTCGACAAGATCGTAATGGAGAATCCGTTACTAGCTGAAGAACCGAGGTTCATGGCCTTTCTCCAAGACCCAGAACTGCTGGTACACCTCGGGGACCCTGTCTGGAGCGACAAGTTGATGGTGAGATTCCCGTTCCTACCCCAAGTGACTGCTAGCATAATGTCAATCATCAAGGAAGATCAAAAAACCTCCACCCCAAACCAACCCAGCACCAGCACCGGGTACTCCTACTCGTTACAGGCCCTCTCCGACGACGATGACGAAGACGAGATGGACTCGAGCTCCGATAGCAATATGTCGCAGCATCCCATCACGCGCAACTCTTCGTACAACGCCATAACGGCTGCGCAGCTCGCGGCAGCTATTGCTAACGCCACCAACACGCAGTTCAACAGCGCTAGCGCAGGCACCCCCGCCGGAGGGCCCAGCACCCCTGGAGGCAGCAACGTGATCACGACGGAGATGTTCTCTAATGCCATCCAGCAGGCGTTCGCCCTGGGAGGTGGTAGCAACGGATCTTCTGGTTCGTCCGCTCCTGCTGCTAGAAGCGACGATGAAAGCATAGAGAACTTGTCGAGAGTGTGGCACGTGCAGTTGCAGCAGATGCACGAGATGGGGCTGCTGGATGACGTCAGGAATATACAGGCGTTGAAGGTCACCAATGGCGATGTCAATGCTGCCATCGAGTTTGTTCTAACAATGTGATATTTTTTTGTTTTTTTTTTAAATTAAATTAGGTTGCTTATAGAAAGTGGTAGTTTGTTTTTCATTCAATTCCTGTGATACAACTGCAAGAGAACCCTCATAAACGCATACGACGAACCATCTTGAGGCTGAAAATTTTGAAATTTCCGTGGTCTATTAACCTCTCTCTGATATTCACAAGGGTTTATTGCCCCAGTAGCTCAAGCCACTACATGATTAAGAAGAAGAATAGGTTTCTGTCAAAAATTTTCATAGACATGATAATATGGACGCCGTGACGTCACTTTTATATCTATTCCAACTGCGGATCACACCACGTCTGGGTCACTGCGTCACAGCACCATGGGACATCAAATTTCAGAATTTTTACAATGAGCAACGCGTAAAACATCATGATGTCAAATGTATGAGTGAAGGACATGCCAAGATGTGAATCTCTTCATCTTTTTTTAGTTACTAGAGTCCATGTTCTCTCTTCAATAGCCAGTCCATATTATGTCGTCACTGGTGATCGTTTGAATTTTGACCGTTTTTTAAAAGTTTGTTGATATTGTCGAGTGACCAGTTTCTAAAAGAACCTAATTTTATTATTTGATACAAAACAGTGTGAAATCACTTTTTTGGATGATGAAGGTATAATCATAAGCATTGAATAATGAATTGCATTTATGTCATTTTCCATTGCAGCAATCTTTTAATATGAACAAATCCTCAAAGAGTTCAAAACTATCAAAATCAGTATTGAATATTACTAACACTGACAGAGAGCCAAACGTGGACCCAACGCTCGTGGAAAATTCTGATTCGAATGCCAGTAGCCCCTCAGTTAAAGCAAACAGTGAAGAAAGGGTTAAAAAAAAGGCTCGTCGAAAAGTAAGATGTACAGAAGAATTCAATCATCTCGATAGAAGAAGCATATTCGCAACGCAAACAAGAGGAAACGGAGAATCTTTGAAAAAAGTCACAACTAAAAAGCAAAAAAATTTGGATTTTCTGCCAAAGATTCATTTGGAGACAGACATTCCTGCAGAAAAAGAAAATGTTTCACCAAATACCAAAAAAAGTATCGATAGGGAAAAGTCGGGAGCCAGAAAAACTAGTAAGCGGAAAGATTTGACAAATATTGATTTGCCTTTGATCGAAATGGCTGACCTATCCAATAAAGAGGAAGGAAAAGTGAAAGAAAACTCGACTCCGGAGGAGAAACGTGACTCTGAGATAGAAATTAAAAAGCGGAAGAAGAAATCAAAAAAATCAAAGAAGGTCAAATGTGAAAGCCCCTTGGAAACGGCAGAGGATCAAAACACCAAAGAAAGACTCTCATCAAACATAGGAAAAACACCAGGTGTCCCAGGGCCCAGTACAAGTAAGCGTTCTATTTTAAAGACAAGAAGCCAGCGAAGACGTGAAAAACGGAGATCTTCAGAATGTGTGAGACGCTCAATTCCCTCCGGGGATGTTTACGTTGAAGAGACGGTAGACAGGACCTTCGAACTAGGCTCAACAAGTTGTGCGAAAGAAGTCAATTTGGAGCGAGAAAGGAAGTCTGTCAGATTCAGGAATACTTTCGAGGTACGGTTAGAAATGACCATTTAAATTGTTGTTCATTATTCATTTATTTTCATATTAAGTAACAGTCAAGATAAAACTTCAGTGTCTGATAGATCGGGAGTATACAAGTTGACTGGTGGTTCTTCTCCAAAGTTTTACATCGGACAAACCGGAAAAACTTTTTCCAAAAGAATGAAAGAGGGTAGAATGCTTGGAAATTGATAGATTTGAGATTTAGGGATTATTGCTTAATGATCAAATAGATTTGAATTGTCCCGTTTTATTGAATTCAGTTTGCCACCAGCTAGTTAGAATAAATTTTAAAAGTAGGTAAATTGAAGTCTCAGGTAAAACTTGTATTCATTATTCATTCTAGAAAGTTGAATATTTTATGTAATGATTTCATCAAGTAGAAATTCGTCATGTAGTAATAGTCATAATGATTCAAATTACTCATGACACAGAATTGGTTCAAACAGTATTGTGACACCTGAAGATGCCATTTTTTAATGGCACGTGTCACGGTTGTGTAAACTTTTGAGTAGAAATCTCGCATTGAAGTGTGTTTTAAAGTAAGAATTTAGAGTACTCTTCGAGAGATAAAATTTAAGCATGGATCTAACATTGTTTTTAGGCCAGTTTAATCGTATCTTTGAGATATAATAATAGTTATAACATTTGAATAACATTAAAATAAAAAATGTTGGAGTTGTAGTAAAAATGCGGCTTTGTATGAATTGTATTATGCTTAGTTTTACTGGAAAAATATAACATCTTGTTGTGGTTTGAATCATATCTATCAGATCGCGTTCAAGTAGTGAATTTCAAAAGTTAATATTCAGATAAAATGAGCATTAAATGCGGAGTATCTCAGGGATCTGTCCTCGGACCTTTGCTGTTTTCATTATATATATAAATGATCTGGAATATATATCGATTGACGGCAAATTCACAAGTTTTGCAGACGACACGTCTATACTTTGGCATGGAAGAAGCACTGGTGCACTAAAAACTAGGGTAGAGCATGATATAAGCAAAGTTAAACAATGGTGTGATGCCAATTTATTATCTTTCAATATATCAAAGACTAATATAATGTACTTTAAATGTAACCTGGACCATATAATTATTGGAGAACACATAATTGATCATAAACTAGAGAACAAATTTTTAGGCCTCAACATGGACAACAAATCAAAACTTAATGAGTCAAGTTTTCACAATTCAAAAAAGAGCAGTGAGATTCATTACCAGATCTAGAGTCCAAGATTCCTGTAAGCCCCTTTTTTAAACTCATCAATACTGGAAAAATATAACATCTTGTTGTGGTTTGAATCATATCTATCAGATCACGTTCAAGTAGTGAATTTCAAAAGTTAATCTTCAGATAAAATGAGCAGGAGAGCAGCTGTCAAAACTCAATGAGTCAAGTTTTCACAATTCAAAAAAGAGCAGTGAGATTCATTAGCAGAGCTAGAGTCCAAGATTCCTGTAACCCCCTTTTTTTCAATCAGAAAGTTAACTTGCTACAAACAGTTTCGAAAAAGGGTAAAAAAACTTCTGCTAGATGAAGATTATTAGAGTATTGAGGAATTTCTTTCGGATTACTTCGCAACTTTATAATTGCAACTAATGAACTTTATTGTCACAGACTTTTACCATAGACTTTTTGAAGTGTGCTTGAGCCATATTAATTAATATCTTGTTTTGAATTCTTGACCTTTATGTTAATGTTTCAGATTGTTTTAGTTGTTAAGCCTGCTTTGTCAACAAAACCTAAACTTTTATGACAATAAAGCATTTCTGACTCTGCACACCAGTTATCTTGAAATGCCTCAATTACTGAATTAAACTCTCATGTTCATCTTGACCCTCTCAGATCTTTTGAATTTGTGCATGAAGGTACTCGTTTCAAATTATAATATAATAATGATAATAACAATAATAATTCTTTATTTCCAGTCAGACAATAAAATTGTGTAGGAAGTATCAATACAAGATACTAATTAATAAAGAAAAAAAGGGGGAGAAAACAGGCTCATACTCTGAAACTATGATGAATGTGAGTTATTCAAAGAGCAAAGTGCAATTGAAAATTGTTCTTGGCTTTAGTATCATGTTGATGAAGTTTTATATTTGTTGTGAAAGTTGATTTAGTTCTGAACACATATGTACACAGTTCAAAAGTTAAAACTGATGTTGAAGTTAGGACACTGTACTTCTTAAAAAGTGCCTTGCCATTGAACAATTTTCTTTTTGTGCTATAAAAACATTTTCTGCTGTGGAAGATCCACCCTAGAAACAGACACCATACCTAAGTCTAGATTCTACTTTAGCAACTGATACTTTGCTGAAACTTTGTTAGTTGATAAAGATGTACTTCAATGAATTAGGTTTTGAAATTAATTGGTGATATTGTGCTTTACAGTTGAGGAACTTATCTAGAATGAGTCTCAAGAATCTTACATTGTTATCAGTATTTGTCAGGGTCACATTGTTCACTACGATATATATCCTGCCTACTATTCTGGCACAATTGTTTTCCAATATTTCTGTATCTGGTGCAGATATAACTAGCGAGAAGTCATCTGCACAAGCGGTATAATGACCTTCAATAACTATTGATTCGATGTTATTTACATAGAGTATAAACAGTAGAGGACCCATTATTGAACCTTGTGGCACACCCATACTTACATTCAGACGTTCAGAATTTACTCTATAGATTTCATTTTTTCTATTGACTTGTACTGACGCAAATCGTTTTTTATTTTCAAGAAATGATGTCAGCCAACTGAGAAAAACTCCTCTTGTGCCATACATTTCTAATTTTGAAATAAGTTTTTTATTATTAAAGGAGTCAAATGCTCTACTTAAATCACGGGTAAAGTAACTTTCAGACACAAACTGAAAGAAAGTCCTCCTGTTGTTATGTGTAAATACCTGACCATTTAAACTATTATATTTATTTTATCTTTACGACTACCATTGGACTTATCTCATGTCATGTAAATGATTTATGGAGATTAATAAAAATGTCCAATATAGTTTTATAGTTATGTTCAGCAATATGATATCCCAGTTTGTATGCAGAGTACCTTAAAACATTTCCAACCATATCAATATCCACATTATATGGAGGACACCAAATTGTTGAGTTGTATTTTATTATTGATCTAATAATTGAGCAATATATGACTAGGAGAAACATTATACAGAGAGAGATAATTCCTCTGCAGATCAAGATTGAAACCTAAAATTTTTAGTGCTCTAGAAATAACATTCACAATATGGGGTTTGAATCACATTTTGTTTAATAATGAAAATATTGCCGTATTTGTTAATTTTTCGGAACAAAATCCATGCTGCATTTGACTCAATATGGAATGTTTCATTAAAAATTAACACAGGCTTTCAAGAAAAGCGTATTCAAATATTTTGGAAAATCTACAGGGGACCGTAAAAGGGCGATCATTTTCCATTGATGTTGGTTCCTTTTTTTTGAAAATGGGTATGATTTTTCCACTTTTTCATGATTTGGAAAACACGTATCAACCATATTAATCAAATTGCCATGGGATTAAACGTAACATCACTCTTATTATACCCTGCATACTGCAAATTACCCCTTCATTAGTAACCTATTAAAACTAAAATATTCTCAACAGGTACAAAACACCACCACGGACATATCTGGGCAGAACTTCACAACTTTCAACGAGTCCAAGGATGGGTCTCTCAAACACTACAGAAAGTCTCCGCACGTTAANTCCAGGAGCAATCCCAAAGCGCCCCTCCCGAAGAAAGTAGAGCCGTCTCACATCCCGAAACCCACCAAAAGTAAAAACCCTGTTGAGAGGCAAGGGTTTACGAAACTCGGTTTCAAAGTCGGGGCGGAAGCAGCGAAGAAAACCACTAAGGAAGAGCAGCTCAAAGCTGTCGTGAACAAAACGAAGGTGCAGACTAATACTGTGGAGACTAGGAGAAACGTTATACAGAACGTGAGGTCCAACAGGAGGTTCGAGTTGCTGATGAAAATGAGAAACAAGTAAAGTGCCTTTGTTTTCGAACTGTTTTTAATACCTGATTTTAAAGTCGTTTATTGAATTAGTACTGTGTAACTATAGATTCGAATCTTAAGAAAAATGTAGTATTAATATTGTTTTAAATTAAGCCTCGTTTTATTGCATTCTGATATTAAAAAAAAATATATCTCTTGGACCTGTTACAGGTCGTCGTTCAGACGAGACACAACACAATCATTCAAAACTATATTAAAGTACGACTTGTGTTACGATGACCTGAATATTAGTATATAGGGTTGCACTAAGAACAAATGGAACAATGTAACAATAATTTACTATTCAAAACTAAGAAACAACAGTATGTACAGCATTCGGAAAACAATTAATCAGCTCGTCAATCATTAATCTAACCTCACAGCAAAAGATGCCCCACACGAACACCCTTTCTCAGCCAGTGGGTTATTGACAATCTTGAAGGAAGACCGAATGAGCTCCTCCTGATAGTCCAGAGTGGAGCCCTTTATGTAATCCAGGGAGATGGTATCGACCACTACTTTAACGCCATCCTTTTCGAAAATTTTATCATCATCCTCGACTCTGGAATCCAAATCGAATTTGTACTGGAAGCCAGAACAGCCTCCGCCCTCGACAGTGACTCTCAAGAAATCATTGGGGGTGACGGAGATTTTTTTCAGTCGCTCCACACATTGTTGGGTAATGTTTATGTCTGCTTTGATATCCAGTGGTTTTATATTAGCCTTTGTGTTCAGAAAGGCGGTTCCAATATTACGGACTATGTGGGAGGTACGAGAAAACATTACTTTAGTATTTCAACAACTTTTAATTTGACATATTTATTATTTACTACATATACTAATGCCACAGAACTAGAATCCAAAGAATTTTCCTTTTTGCAAGAATGGGGTTATTGTTATTGGAAACTTCAATTCCCTTCAATCTTCGGCTTTTAGTTCTGTGTCATAGACACAACAGAATGGACTGGCCGTAAAATGAAACAACTCTCACACAGAAAAAAAAAGAGATAGATGCCGTGAGTGGCAATATGGCTAACAAACCGGTAACGTATCATTTCTAACTTCTGTTGGGTAGTTTGATTCGTATTACTTTCTTCTTTAATACAAATTGCAGATTGAATAGCTATTCGTAGGCTGGATTTTTGTAAATTTTTTGGACACCGGTAGATGGCGTCATTTACAACACAACGTGAAGTTGAGATGAATTTATAATTTGAAAATTTTGCTGATTATATTCGCAACTGATATCACGTTTCCTGTTCCTTTTATAAAGTATAACTGAATCGACGTTATCCATCTTGAGTTTGTTCATGTTGAAGCCTGGCTCCCTTCCCCTTTTAACTGGTGTTCGTCAGAAAGACAAACGGGTCATATAACTGAATCCACAATATTTTCGTCTAATTTATAATGTCGAACTGCATATGTATCTGCAAGTTATAAGTGGTGTCATCTTTTAGCAGTTTTCAAAAGTTGAAACGTCTGCTTTTTTTTATTTGTTTACCATATGTCATGATCACATCAACTAAATTATGAATTTTTCAAAAGTTATTTGAATACTTCATTATAATATCAGATTTCATATTATTTCACGTGGAAATTTTTTTAGATTTTCAAACGTTAGCGGGTGCCTAAACACTTCCACTTTTTTTGAGGTATTTGTTTCCCAATAAACAATCGTTCTGACGACATATTTTCTATCAACTGAATTTATACTTCAAAATTATTTCCTAATGTACTCTCTCTCAATGTTTTCGGCTTTTGCTTTCACTCGGCGCATTAAGCCATTGTAATGTTCTCATTACTTTTGCAAATGCTGTGATAGAAAGTACAGATGTTAATTCATAAAAGGGCTTGCCAGATGTCAAAAATTATGATCACCATGTTTTTGACGTCATTGGCGGGAAAAATAGCGCCAAATTTGAACCGACATGAAATGTGCCCCGGATAAATCACACCATTTTTCTGTTTCAATACCTAGACCGTTATAATTCTGCAGAATCATTGATTGAAATAGGCATCTTTCATTTATATACGAAGTTCTGATGATAGTAATGATAAATTATTGTTTTATATATGATTTGAGGCATAGATACAACGTTGGAAAATATTTCAAATATTTGTTTACAATATACCTCAACATCTCAATCAAAGGGCTCCTCCTGGTGTTATTAGGTATATTTAGTTTATCCACAAAACCGTCCTGGTATGAGTAATGGAAGAAACAAATACAAAATATTATTTTTTTTAATAAATTATCGAATTTTCAGAATTAACAATTATCACATCTCCTGCTTGTATAGAATAAAAGCCAAGTTCTTTCATCTCATCATCCAGCCGTATTTTAATCTCCTGTTTGGGACCACTGACGTACGTTAGACAGGGCCTGTCTTGTAATTTGAATGTTTTCTGAATCAACAAAATAAGTTTTTGTATAGAAAGAGCTGGTGGTAGTTTTCTTTTTATCGTTCTCTCGCCATGTTTGATTGATATGCTTATCAAAGCTGTGTCCAGAATGTTCGGTTGGATTACTAGTTCCGATTCTTCCAGGGCACCGTACTCTGCAAACATGAAAAGAAATAGTTTTCCGTTCCGTATGCACAAGTATACAAATAATAATAATAATAACATCGTCTTTATTATCTTCAAATACATCTTTCAAGTACATTAATCAGGTACAATTTGACTGTTATACAATGATGACTTGAATCAATTCAATACAGCTACGGACTGACTCATGGCCTGTGGGAGAAACCGTATCTGGGTAAAGTTAGTGTTGGTGTATGACAAAGAAAGTATTAGGAAAAAAGGGATAGAAACTTTTGTTTGCAATTTTAAGCTTATGGCTCGAATAATCTAACAGACTTATGACAGATTTCTACGCATCTACTGCACAGAGTCAGAGTTAGAAATGCTTTATTGTCATAAAAGTTTAGGTTTTGTTGACAAAGCAGGCTTAAGAACTAAAACAATCTGAAACATTAAAATGAAGATCAAGAATTAAAACAAGACATTAATATGGCTCAAGCACACTTCAAAAAGTATGTGATAAAAATTTTATAAGTTGCAATTATAAGTTGCAAAGTCATCTGAAAGAAATTCCTCAATATGTCATTATTGCTACCATTTTTTTTCTGCTCATCAAAACATATGTAATATATTTTTGTTGTAGATATGTTTGAGATGATCATAAAAGGTTTTCTTATTCGAAGTTCATTGTAGAAAACGCTCAGAGCAATGGAAAAAATATGAATAAGTACCTAAAAATGGAAAAAAAAACTCTCGAAAAACTATACGATTCACAGGGAGACGTGAAAGTTGCTATTGTGTTTTTATTCAACTCAGTCAACCAATTTCCAGGGCCGTAATTATTTGTGCTCTTAGAGGTTTGAAAGCCATATTGATAGGAGTGACGAATATGATTTTTGTCAAGACAATTTAGGATTCTCTTTTTCGTTAACTTAGTTAACCTCTTTTTCGTTAACCACGATCTTAGATAGAGTTGGCAGTAGAGAAATAGGCCTGAATCGTCTCCTTTAAATAATGGGATAACTTCAGCAGTTTTTAAGCATTCTAGAAAAATACCATTTATGGAGATTCATTTACAGCTTCTGCAAAGATATCTATACAGTATTTGGCAGTGCAAGGAAAATTTCAAGTGAGAGATCATCCCATCCTGAGGAGTTTTTGTTTTTCACGCTAGAGAGGATTACTTTTATTTCATTTCCAGAGGTTGGGGAATAGTTGAATTAGTTCTACATGGCTATACGCCTAAGGTAACTAATTGAGTTCTCATTAGCTGATTTATTTTGCTATTTTTTGAGCAATGGAACAGTAGTAAGTGTTTAATTCGTTTTTTACTCAGTTCACTATCAACAAAAGATTTTATAAGGGCTATCTCACCGGCCATGACTCAGTCCAGCAGCTGTATTTCGTGTAACGCGTCTAATTTTTCTATTAGAATCTTATGATCAACACTATCACAATGTTTCGTTGTTAATTTTGCGAAATTCGACTTACTGTTTGTCAACTCCAGAAATCGGTTGTGTTCTCTTAGGAATTTTTTTCGGTCAGCTGTGTTCTGACTTTTCAGCCATTCCAATCCATATTTTTTGAGGTAGTCGTATTCGGCTCCTCTCCGTTCCTCATCTAGAATCCGACATCCGTTGAGAGTCTGGTAAAAATTCAATGAAAACAACTGAGAACAAGTACCGAACCACTGAGCTTACCTTCAAATTTTTTATTCTCGCCACTACTATCTGTTCTCTCGTTGCAGGATTCTCCGTTTCCAGAATAGGGTTCCTGGTGAACCTGAGGTGCTCTAATTTGTTTAATTTGTTCAGTTCGCCGACAGACTGCCACTATAAAATAACAGAGAAAGTACAGGAATTTCACTAGTTCGGACTTCCATTGTCAATATATAAAATGAGTTGAAATCCCTGAAACAACTGAACAAGAAGAATTAAAAATGACGTTTTGGGGAGCATGCAGTCCAACTTTATTCAAAAGTCTACTAATTTTACAGAAAGGGGCACTAAAGTATATAGGAAACCTTAAACCAAGAGACTCCTGTAGAACCTTCTTCAAAAAACATAATATTCCAACAGTAACTGCATTATTTATACTGGAATCTGTGTGTTTATAAATAAGCATTTATTGAATTTTACTGCATCCTCTTCCCAGTATAACACCCGAAACTGCAGAGACACTCTGAAACTCACTGTGTCAACTAAAAACATCACCTGAGACTCCATATTTTACAACGGTGGAAAAATGTACAATCATTTGACTATGGACATAAGATCTGCCAATATAAATGACTTCCAATTCAGGAAGTTAGTCAAACAATTTCTATCTGATACACCCTATTATATTGACTGACTTACGTATATTTTTTAACTTTACTTATTAAGGAGCTCTTAAATTGTTACTTTTTATGTCTACTCTTTTATAAACTTTACTTTTACTCTTTTATATATACATATCTTTTATATCCTCCATTTTAACATAGTTTGTACCCATGCACCATTTATATTTTTATTTTAATTTCAGTTGGTATGTATTGCATTTTTTTAAGTATGTACTACCCAAACTTTGTCTACAAGATTATGTCTTATGATAATAAAGCATATTATTATTATTATTTCTATTATTTCCCCTTCAAAGTAGTCCCCTCCGTATTTTTTCATTGGCTTTTCAAAAGAACCTAGCTCGGTGAGATTTTCATCCATTTTCCGATGTCCTAACACTGTTTCTATCGTATTTGTAATAAATTTGTATCATATCTCTTCTTTTCTTCATTCGTAAAAGCCATTTTTCGCCAAAAATTCAATGACTTGTACAATAACAAAATGTCATTGTCAAAATATCTCAAATTTTTTGAAAAAGAATGATAACTTATGATACATCATTAAAAAGGTAAAATCTGGTTCTATTCAAAACAGAAAGAATCCAATGTAGCGCCCATAAGAAAAAATAAAGGTGATGATGGTGGCCAGAAGACGAAACGTTGGATAGCAATTCTGAAAACACCATTGTAGCAGGGAAAAAGTGGCAATGTCGAATCCTTCAAAAAATAAAAGCCAGAAAAAATAAAAGCCATTTTCCGAAATTTCTGTTATTTTCGGATATCTCCGGATATACTTGGAATTTCAGAAGTTTCTCACTGGCATATTGTTAGTAAATGCACAACTTTGCCCCAATTTAACCATCTTCGTATCTCTCATAGTTTCCGAGATCCCAATGGTGAGGATCAAATTTGAAACACCCTGTATGTACACACTTCATTGTTAACTTATCTATTTTGCACCATCTCAACTCCTCAATAATATCGATCTATAATTTTACTGAATATTTTCATCCAGAACAGAAAAAGATTGTCGAAAAAAAGTGTATTTCAATTCAAATTTGAAAAAAAATCAGGCTCAGATGAAATTTAAAACATATCTTGTGTACCTGGTGTATCTAAGTGTTGAATAAATTATTGAATTAAATTTCATCTCGTTGAATTCACCCCCGGGAAACAGGACCTGTTAGAAAGCCTGGAAAACTCAAAAGTAAACTTTTATCTTGTTGAATCGACCAATAGATTAACATTACTGATATGGATGTTATCTGCTTCAGATTTTCAATAGCCCAATAAAATATTCAATTAGATCAAATCGGGAGAACGGGCAGGCCACCCCAGATTCTCAGGTAGTTGTACAGAATCAATTTTTCACGATACAATATATTTTAAATAGTTCCCTCACCTAACGATTTAAGAAAATTGAATTACACGAAGCTAAAGACACAACTAAAATAATATATTTTGAAATAAATTGACAATTTTGTGGTTTTGGCAAAGAAGGGTTTTGGTTTTCTACTACTCCATCTTTACATAAAAAAATGTGAGAATCTTCCAGAGGAAGAAAGAAAATAATTTCTCTCTAGAAACGGTTCACTCCCCAACTTTCTGTGACCTATCGAACACATTTGACTGTGGCAACCACGAGATACTTCTGAATAATACGCAGTTCTTGAATAAATTGCAGAAGTGAGGCTTCGGAAGCATCACCCTTCAGTGGTTCCAATTATACTCATCAGGCCACAAACAAATAGTAAAAACACCTGAGTGCTCTTCTGAACAGTCCGTCAAATGCGGAGTGCCTCAAGGCTCGATCCTTGGCCCAATTTGGTCTCCTCTATATGAATGGCTTAGGTCTCATATCAGCCACAATCACCCCCTTTGCTGACGACCCCACCTTATGATGGCTCAACAAGGATAATGCCGTTCTGCACGAGATCGTCTCTGAAGACGATAAAAAATGAAAAATGGTGTGACTGTAATAAGTTATCTTTCAACATCAATAAAACCATCATTCTTACTATTAGTTGTATTATTCTCAGACTGTTTTTATTTCGATATGTGCCTTACATTGTCCCTACTATAAACGTTTATTGTTTCTTGGGATTGATAAGCTTATTATTAGATTCACTTTATACCAGATGTTGAAATTCTACCTACCAATTTTTCACAGAAGTGTTGGAGGAAAAAATAATTATTCAATATTTTTCTCTCAGTTTACTTTGTAGACGTGGACAACTTAACACTAATGTAAAGGGAATGCAACAGAAGGAGAAAATAAAGACAGCAATAGGAAAAACTCACCTCGGCAATCAAATTATTACTGATATTGATCTGATTGAGATTAGCAAATCCATGAGTAGGCACCGAATCGTCTCTGAACCTGATCCTTTGTAGCTTAACGTCTTCAATGTTCAAGTGTTCCAGAGATTGTATCACAGCCAAATTTTCAATCGTCGACCAGTGCTCTATGCAGTTACCCTCGAGGTCCAGATAGAGAAGCTTTTTGAAATTGTGGTTGGGGGGCACCGTTATATCTGTTATCCGGTTGAAAGGCACTCTCAGTTCTTGCACGTTGGGAAAAACTGATGAAATCTTGATAACGTCATCCCACGAGAGGTCCATGTGGCCACAAATCAAAACAGTTATATTAGGAAAAACGAAGTCACAGCAGTTTTCAGGAATTGATAGAAGGTTCTCACTTATGTTAACACAATATAAACTCTTGAGCTGAGAACAGATGTTGAAAACTTCCATCCAAGAACACAGCAGGTTTTTCGACAGATCAATTTCTCTGATATTTGGGAACATTCTGTTCAACTCCCTCGGGGGTCCCGCTGAACAGACCTTCTGCATTCTCACGTTGACGATCTCTAGGTACTGGAAATCACTGAAGCACAAAAACTCAATGAAATTAAGCTAAAAGTATGGAGTATGATGCTGAGAAAAGAATGAGAATTTTTGTGCAGAAATTATTTCAATAAAAACATACATTATTGGTGGCTAAAACATACCAAAGATGATACATACCGCTGCTTGTTTGCCACCTTTTCGAAACCTACTAATTCCAAAAAAGGTGCATTCATATATTGTTGTATCTTGTGCAATTCCTCTTCGTTCCGTTTAGCTTCAATTTCGTTATCCCTGTAACCATACCTGGACGTAATAGCTTCTATCAAACTCTGGCCAAAATTCAGTTTCTCCCTCCTGACAAATGACCCAGAAGTTGGATATCTACAACACACACTACATCTTGGTAAATTTCAGCAAAAGTAGTGGAGTACAGACCTCGTATGAAAATAGTGCTTTCCTTTAACCGTGCCATTGTGTTTGCCCCTATTGGGCTCATCCCAATCTATGCCCAACCAAAAACCTTGATATCCTTCTACTGCACCTGCATATTTAACTGTCCCATAATCTCCCGAGCATTCCGCACGGATCCCCACAAAATATTCAGTGACCATTTTAATATAAAAATAATTCAATAACAAAATATCAACGTAGTCCCTCTAGTATTCTCCTTAGGTTTTCTTTATTTCGGTGCAGTCTTCAGTAGATTACTGACATTTCAGATTTTCATCACAAAAACATAAATATATGTGGCCTTGAGGATTTTGACAGGTGTAATGACATCTGACACTGATCCACAGAAATTGATTTTTTTATTGACAATTGGCATCAAGTTATATAGTCAACAACCCAACTTTAAAACGAGTATGAAGTTACGAGCTTTTCCCATATATTGAGAGCATATGCAAGGCTGAGAAAAAAAATTAATAAAGCTAGTCTCAAAAATCTGAAACGTGTACTCCGGAAAAAACATATTTTCTATACGGATTCATTTTCTATTGTCTTTTTTATCATATCTGACTTGCATAAAACGGATAGTTTCAAATTTATTCCATACTTATGTGATGTAGTTGGTCGATAATTAATGAAAATGCATAGCTTGAGTAAACTCTTGTATAACGGAACCCGTGTTGCGTTTTTGTAAAACTGATTAGTGGAAATCTCACAATAAAGTGTTGCTTGAATAATCCATACTTGATAAGTGGAATTTGAAACCTATGGCGTGAAATGAAATTATTATTAAAGGTGCATTACTCACTGAATTCGAAATAACTGATTGCTACTCATTTGAAGTCACAGAAAGGCACTTGAAGAAATTTAACAAAAATATGTATGTTTTAAAAAAGGAAAATGAGTCTGAAAATACTGAAAATGAGGCAAATGAGAATGAAAATAATTTTACTTTCATTTTTGTGTTTGATTGTGTTGTGATCAATATTATAATGTAACATTGTATGTGAGTCCTGGTAACTAATAAAAGTAGGTGAATGTTTTAATTATATGAGGACAGTATGAAATCTTGTCTTTTTTACTTTACCTGTTGTTTTTTACTTTCTAGGAATTGGTAACACTGGGCTCACGTATCAATTTGACTTTATCTAACCTTAAAAAAAGAATATTTGACAGACATCAGATGTCACTGGTATAAATTAGTTTTGCCCCGATTATTTAAAGAAAACAAACATTTATTGCAAATGATAAATAACACGCATTGAAAGATTCGAAATGGCTGTCGTCAATCAGAAAGAATACCTAAAAAAATATTTAGGAATAGGAAAATCACATGGCATCAAAAAGAAAAAGAAGAAATCGGAAAAAACTTTGGGAAAACGGTATTAACTAAATTATATTTCACCACGAATAGTATTTATTTTATGATTGTTCATCTTTATCTTCTATATTAGAGTAGGAAAATCTAGAAGTAGAAGTGTTTTGTAGAAATAAATGTATTGCGAGTATACTTGAGAATTGATTCTGTAATTTAGCAAATGAAAAAAAACTTTCTTCTATCATTGCAGGCTGAAAATAATTGACGATGATCTAGATGTCTCGTTATCAGAAGAAATCAAAGGAGATTTAGCAGGAGACCAGGAGGATGCCCCTCAGATTGTATCAATTATCGACGATCGTCCTCCGTCTCTCAGGATCGATGAACGAACCAAAAGTAAAAATTGGAAACCGATTGGGGCAGCGGACTCAGACGAGGAAGAGCAGAATGCTACTTTTTCACAAAGTAAGTGAGAAATTTCATCAATTCATTTGAACCTTGTATATTGTCAACTATAATAATTGTAGGCATCTCTGTAAGAGTGTACAAATGCATGTTGTACGTTATCACATACATTGACTTACCATATATCTTTGTTGTATCCAAATTAGTGAATAAATATTGATATTATTTCCCAGGTAAACCTCATAACTTGGATATGGACATAGCAAGTCGAGGCAGAAAAGATTCAGACCAGTCTTTAATAACCAAAAGGCATTTTTCAAGGCAAGACATTTCACCGCCTAGGCTCAAACATGAAATTGTCCCTAAAAGAGAACTATCTCCGACTGACATCTCACCACAAAGGAGGACTGATCAAGATCACTCTCCTGAAAGGAGAAGAAATAACGATTCTGGTGATCAATCACCAGGAAGACGAAGAAGTTGTGACTCTGCGGATCGTTCACCACCTAGAAGGAGAAATAATTCAGAGGATCACTCTCCAAAGCGACAAAAAAGGGATAATGATCAGTCTCCACCGAGAAGAAGAAGGAACGATGGTGGGGATCAGTCTCCACAGCGACAAAAAAGGGATAGTGATCAGTCTCCACCAAGAAGAAAAAGAAATCATGGTTCTGGAGATCAGTCTCCAAGAAAACAGAAAAATAGTAATCCTAATGATCAATCTGCTAGGAAGAAAATAAACCGAGATGAAGATTATCCTCCAAAGCATGAGAAGAGAAGGGTTTCTGGAGACCACTCGTCTAATTTAAGAAAGAATGGAGATGCTAGAGAGTCACGTAACGAATATATAAGGTGAGGAAGATGAACGGATGGTTCACTCTTTTTCTTTCAGATCATTTCTCAAAATCGTCAGCCATTTTTTCATATTATATTTTGACGTTTTCTTAATGAGTTCATGGGGGGGTTTTGCACTTAATGTGTACGCTTCAATAAAGTGGACTGTATTATGGTGAGCTGGTGAAATATTGTACTTGCATACTCTAGCATGAATGATGGCAAGGCTGTTGCAGCAGTGTTTTGTGATTTCTCGAAAGCTTTCGATTGCGTTGATCATAAGACACTGCTGCGGAAGCTCAGCCATTATGGGATAAGAGGAACAAATTTGAACTGGTTTGGTTCATATTTGACAGGACGTCGACAGGTGGTGAAAACATCAAGTGGACAGCCTGATCTCAGCGACATAAAACATGGAGTACCTCAGGGGTCTGTTTTAGGACCAATGTGGTTTTCAATATACCTAAATGATCTAATAACCATTAACATTGCAGGACAATTTACTGTATTTGCCGACGATATGGAGTAATAAAGAAATTAATCAGCTATTCACATATGATACAAATAGATATTCAAAAAATTCAAGCCTGGTGTAACGCGAACTCCTTGTGCTTCAACCTAAACAAAACTAGTTACTTTCAAATGTACACTAGACGATTTAGATTTGGATAACCACTAAACAGCACACTAAATTCCTAGGCATTCACATAGACAATAAATTAAATTTTAAAGAACATGTATCCCACTTGAGTAAAAATGTATCTAGTGGGTGTTATGCTATTAGAGCGATATCAAGTGAACTAGGGTACACTACAGCTTTGCACTGATAGAATCTCATATTCGTTATGGAATAGCGTGATTGTAATTTACAATCACAGAATATGATATTTGTGCTACAGAAGAGGTCTTTGAGGTCCCGTACAAAGTCTAAGCCAAGAGATCACTGCAAGCCTTTATTCATCAGCCACAAAATATTACCTGTCACCTGTTTATACATAATGGAAACAGTATGCCTAATTCATGAAAATAAAACTAGCATGTACACTCCCAGAACAAATTGTCGCAACACCAGACAGAACCATATGCTTTACTTACCTATTCCAAAATTCACCTTGACTCAGCATTCTCTGATTTATGAAAGTACTGAAGTATATAATCACCTTCCTATCATTCTAAAAAATAGCACAGATATCAAAAAGTATCGAAGTACAGTTAAAGATCTTTTAAATCAGAAAAGCTTATTTTTCGATCCTTGAATTCTGCAATGATAACCTGTAAGTTCTACTTGATTTTTCAATGTTCACCTAAACTCATCTGTCTTCTTAATGTTTTATTTGTGAAATTGCAATGTTTGTATTTTTTATATTTTATGACATGTATTGTATTTTTTATATTTTATGACATGCATATAATTTTTTTACGTTTCGTGGTGTATTTCATCAGTTTGGACTTCCATTGTCTACTATAATATAAATTGATTTGAAACCCCTGAAAGAATCTAGCATTTCTGCAGAGTTACAAATTAACATAGAAAGTTCGATTGATGACCTATTTATTTTGTGGAAATTCCTATTGAATATGTTTTTATAAAAACAACAATAAAAATTATTTGGCGTTTGAAATGTTGAAACCTAAAACCGTATGTTAAAAACTAGATCAAATTCTCATGTTCTTGTTAAAGTTTAAAGGTGATTGAGTTCTTGATACTCAATTGACTTATTATAAATGTTTTATTGTAGGAAAGACTCAAGTCGCCAAAAAACATCGAGATGGAGTGAAAATTCCCCCGATAGTTCAAACATAACTCTTGGAAAAGCTGAAAAAACATTGAGCGGTAAAAAGTCGGGTCTGCAGAATGCCAAGGATCTCGCTCAGGAATTGTCAGCTTTAAAAGAGCGAGAAAATGAGCTGTTTTCAAAATTAACAGCAGTTGAATCAGGTAAGAGATACTTTTAATTCTTATATAGGAATGTAGGCTTTACTGCTGGCTGTTGTACTACTTTACATTATCTTCTCTTTTTTAACCTCTTAGGAGAGAATGCAGTCACTGTCTTGAGGAATAAAAAGACCATCAGCCCGGAGGAAGAAGCGGAACTACAGAGAAAGAAAAAGGAGCTCGAAGACAAGTACTCGAAATGGGGAAAGGGTCTCAAACAAGTGGAGGATAGCAACGAAAAGTGGGCCGAACAACTAAACGTTATGAGTAAGCCTTTGGCGAGGTATGCTGACGACGAAGACCTCGAGAAGTACCTGAAAGATCAGGAACGAGATGGAGATCCCATGCTGATGTATATGCGGAAAAAGAAGAAGAAGAAAGCTGTAGAAGCTGGGATCTCAGGTAAGGGTTTTGTGCTAATTTCTAAGAATCCGGCTCGAAAGACCAAAATTATGTTAATCCGTTTTTTTTTTTTTTCGTATATAATTGTTGCGATTGTAGAAATAAATTGTGATGTTTGTGTTTTCAGAAAAACCTGTTTATTTGGGAGAGTTTCTGCCAAACAGATTTGGTATTCGACCCGGCTACCGGTGGGATGGTGTGGACCGATCTAATGGTTATGAAGTGAAACTACTGAGTTCCAGAAACGCCGAAAAGGCCCAACGAGATGAAGCATTCATGTGGAATACTGAAGACATGTAATATAATAAATTTTTCCACTTGTACAGAAATTTCTATTTATTTTCTGTTTTTATACATATTCAATAATGTACCGAAAATAAAGCAAACATTTTTTTTTAATTTGGAATTATTTGTAGATGAGTATATATTTCATTCCTCCCTAAGCGTTGATTATACACATCAAAAGGATAGCTCAGTTCCTATTTGCTCATATTGTGTTCGGTTATACTTCTTCTTCTCTTTTTTTATGGTATTTGCTTCCCTTTGGCGCAGTAGACCAGTGTATTCGGTTATAAAAATCTGAAGACGAGCCAGCAAATGCAGATTTTATACTACGTGATCACAGAGTCGACAGAGCGAAATATATTTAACAACCGTTTGATTTTATCTGAATGACAAGTTGACATTTGTCGCATATAAATTGATAGATGCAGCAGTATTACTACGTGGTAGGAGATCATGAAAAATGAGAATTAAAACCTCCTATGTTTTCAACGCTTTGTATCTCACAAACGAAAGCCTAAGCAATGCTCATAAATGCACGTTTTATTTTAAAAAATCCTGAATATTACTGGAGTTTATTTTCCTCCAGTTTTGCGATGATACTAGCGCCACCTTACGTCAGTAAGTTTCTGGAATATCATTTCCAGATATTAGAGGCGTTCTCGATTGGCGTTTGTTACTATCAGCGATTGATGCAAAATTGACAGCAATTTGTAGACACAGAACACGGAAATTCCGTAATCTATGTTTGTAGAATGACTGGTGGTTTAACATTCTCACGCGAGAAACTATTATATAGCGAAACACGTATCGTCCGTTTTTCGAATATTCTTACAGTGAAAATAAATCTCACAGTGAATTAAATCGGTTAGTTTTGTTATGGATTTTCGTCAAGTGTCCACTCTTTAGCCTCCACCGCACCCCGCAAAGGTCGAACAGACCGATTCACTTTTGACCTAACCTAACATATATATAATTGAATAAAAGAGTATTATAATTGATAGATGTAACAACGGATTGCGACTACTGTTCTTTTTGGCAATATTTAATGTTTTCCTAGAGTTTGACGTTCGAATTATTGAGTGTAGATGTCGCTTACTTCGCGGTGTTCCACGATGAGTGAAAATTAAAGTCATGTCAATGAATGAAAAACCTATGAAATTTTCGTCTTGCCAGGCACATAATCAATCAAAATATGGATGTTTGGGTTTTTCAAAACAACTTTAACTTCGAATAACACCTACTTTGTGAAACGCAAAATCTGGAAGTGTCCACAAGTAAATGTCATGTTCCGTGAAACAACTCCGCGTTCCGGGTAAGTCAAATGAAACGTTCCTGTGTTACGACAAGTCTTTTTTCTGCTTGCATTCTGAAGCTTGGCAGCATTTGTTAGCAGCCCTGTTTTAGCGAAAAATAAATGTTTCCCTAAACAATCTTCCCAAATTTGAAAGGTAACCTTCAGTATAATTCAATTTGTTGTACTATTTCAATCGAAAAATGGATTTCCGCAATAATGTTTCGCTCAGGTCATTGATGTCTTACGTCAAGGAGTGTACTTTTGATGATTGTTCATCGATTAGATGGATTCCATTAGTAAATTTGTTGCATAAAGTAAACATTGATGATACATTCCTTATTTTGCAGGATGTCTTCGACTATCATAACTTGCGTAGTATGTGGTTTCAGTGGCTCCTCCAAAAAGAATTTTGTACCAGTTTTCGGTGATGAAGTGAGAAATCTTTACTGTACTACTCGCTTGAGTCCCATCTGAATATGATTGTTTTTAGTGTTCGGAGTCGGAGCAGCAGAAGATTGCACTATTGGTTGAAAAGTTAACCAAGAAAGAAATTAAATGGGAACCCGAACAAGAACAAATGGTATGCACGAAGAAGTGTGTAACACTGATCAACGAATATGGAGAATTACTGAGCAGGTTAGATGAAATCAAAAGTGAAATTCTCGACCAGAATAATCCCGAAGATGATACCTTTGCTGATCAAGATGAGCCAACTTCTGTTGGTGGTTCCGAGAGCAAGTTTACCCTCTCCAATAAACTCCTTTTTTTGCCCCCGACAGATGAAGAAAACGTACAAGTATGTATAACAACGTGATAGATCTATTTAGTAATATAGCGAAATACGGATTTTATAGTACCCATTCATAAATCAGGTGATAGGGAGAACGTTTATTGTGTTGAAAGTGTTCAAAACGAAAAAAAATGACCGACATTCAAGTGCTCTTTATCCATTACACTCTTCCATAAATATTTTTTCCAGTTATCTACCGTTAAAACGTCTCGAAAAGACATTGAGATGAAACTAATAGAAATTGACGGAGACATCCTTGTTGGTGAAGTCGAACAGGAGGACGAATCAATGGATATGGAAGAAAGCACAAACGATATGGAAGAAATGATGAACGATATGGAAGATTCTGCTGATGAGGATGATACATTGGATGCGGGAGCTGTTGAAAATTCATCCGATTCGGACTATTCGCCTCCTAAAAAAATTTCTATAAGTGTTCCTGTTAAAAGTTCCCCGGGTACCGAAAACAGTATAGGTAGGTGAGGAGTAGATTTCGAAAGGTTATTTTATTTGACTATAGTTTTGTTCAATCAATAGTGCCTTAATTTTGCCTTAATTGTTGATTTATAAAGATAATTTTCCTTTTTTAAAGTAGAATATCTAGGTACGTATAAATTATTTCAACTTGATATAGGTGCTGTTGCCAATATGTGAATTAGAAACAAATCCCTTTGCAAATTAAAACCCAACATTTGAAACATCAATTTGAATACTTTTCGAAGTCAATTTGAAAAACTGATGAATTAAACTCAACTTTATTTTGTTCAAACTTGCATTTGCTGTAATAACCCAAATTGAGGAACATTTCCCATTTAATGTCCATATATTTGAAAATAATTGTTTCTAATGGATTTGTTCTATCAGTTTGCATCTGAAAAAATATCTGTTCACAATCGAAACGTCTTTGTAAAGAGTTATTATTGATTTTATTCAGTTATTTTCATTTTTTCCTGTTTTCACTCCTATATAATGTTGAAGAAGTAGAAAGCCAAGATGTTTTTTTTTTTTAATTTTATTATACTTTTGCTTAGACAGACTATCTTAGTAATTGTTTTTTGCCCTCTCGAACATTTATGAAAATTTCTATCATCCTGATCAGTAAACAAATATCAATTTTTGCGTCTTGTGTGATTAGACAATTTTTGAATACTAGAATTCGTGAAGATAAAAACAGAACCAAAAACAGAGCCGAAAACAAGCAGCAGCGGCAACACAAAGGTCCACATGATACCAATGATTCCCATGGACAAAAAACCCCTCATTCTCAGGAGAAAACAAGTATCCGAAGAAGTAGAGACTACTGTCGAGGAAGACAACAAAGCCGATATATCTCCAATGCCCATCATTTCGAAAGAAGGTAACACGACAAATATATTCACCTTATCTCGTTTTATTTTCGGTCCGGCTCGAAGGACCAATAATTAATCTCTCGCTTGTTTCGTCCGAAGGTAATCTGTTCACGTGTCTGCTGTGTCAAGGAGACGAAGTAGCTGTTGGGGAAGCGAAAGCTATCACAGAACACGTCAAGCGAAATCACGGATTCCGCCTGTACATCTGCGACGTGTGTGGCCAAGATTTCTTGAAGCGCAACCTCCTGTCTGCACATTTGGACGAACACGTAGCTGCCGAAGAGGGGGACTTTCAATGCGAGATCTGCAACCGCATCTTCAGTAATTTGAGGTTGTTCCGTGTCCACAGGTGAGTGGAGTTTATCTCGTTTTGGAAATTTCGATTGATTGTTTTCCAGATAGAAGCTTCCTCAAAGTTGTTATCAATTTTTTTCAATTGCAGGCGTATGCACTACCCCCAGAACAAGGCGTGGGAGTGTGAAACGTGCGGCAAGAAGTACAGCAGCAAAAACCTCCTCGACGAACACATAAACACCCACCTCGGCGTGCGACCATACGTGTGTGGCATCTGCGGCAAAGACTTCGCCAGCAAGTACACGTACAAGGCGCATGAGAAGACTCACGAGTCTCGCCCGAGGCCGTTCAAGTGCGAGCAGTGCAACAAGTCGTTCCTCAGCCAACAGAACCTGACGCAGCACCAGAGGACCCATCTCGGCATGAAGGAGTTCTCATGTCATCTCTGCAGTAAGTTCTATTACAGTACGGTCGGTAGATATTCATGCATATGTCATACATTTGCACATCCGAAATATATTTACTTATTCACTTTATTTTACACACTAGATTAGCTTCACCTGTACGTATGTATGTATGTTTGTAACTCTCAAGCTTGGGATCTGTATTCGACAGAATTATCGCTTGATCTATTCGCGGGCAGATGGCGCTGTACACAACCTCCTTGATATAACATTATTGCTTGATCTATTCGCGGGCAGATGGCGCTGTACATAACATCCTTTATATAATTCGAACTCACACAAGAAATACATATATGTATTTCTTCATTTCAAAAAGTATTTTTTGGTACCTGATTTTCAGGCTCCCTCTCCGGAATCGGAAAATATCAATGGTCATTTTTCTAAACAATATACGGCTGATTGATCCTAAAGTTTAGATAAAATTAATATAGTTTAAAAAGATCAAAAAACCACGCTTTTATAGCATACGAAACTAAAAAATGAAAAAACTATATTGGTTCAGTTAATTTTTATGTGAATTTTTATAGACCCACTCATTTTATCTATATTTGACATATGTTCGTTTTTAACTGATTAGTTTAGGATTGTTCTACTTTCATAAATCTTTTGTATATTTAAAAAAGCACTCTTTCACATTTTTTTTCCAAAATGCTTCATCAATTAGAACTTTATTTGTTGGACAATAAAGTATATTACTCTCTCTTTCTCAAGTTGGGCGATAATGGAAGAAGCCCAGAAATACGAATTATTAAATACAATTGCTTTGAAGTCTTTACATATTTATATTATTTCTCAATACTGACAGTGATAAAAAAGTAATAAAGTACTAAGAACAATGAAGGTTCAACAAGTTAAGAAGAAGAAACAGAAGAAGACATATACTTCCTTGACCACTTAAAACACACAGGAAACTCAATCCAATGAAGTAAAATCTTCAAAAATCGAGAGGGTCAATATTAAAAGAAACACAGATATAATCATCATTAAAATATTCTGCTGGTGTATAGTACAGCGATAAAAAAGTAATAAAGTACTAAGGTCAATGGAGTTTGAACAAGTTAAGAAGAAGAATAAGACATCATATCAATGGAGTTTGAACAAGTTAAGAAGAAGAATAAGACATCATATCAATGGAGTTTGAACAAGTTAAGAAGAAGAATAAGACATCATATCAATGGAGTTTGAACAAGTTAAGAAGAAGAATAAGACATCATATCAATGGAGTTTGAACAAGTTAAGAAGAAGAATAAGACATCATATCAATGGAGTTTGAACAAGTTAAGAAGAAGAATAAGACATCATATCAATGGAGTTTGAACAAGTTAAGAAGAAGAATAAGACATCATATCAATGGAGTTTGAACAAGTTAAGAAGAAGAATAAGACATCATATCAATGGAGTTTGAACAAGTTAAGAAGAAGAAGAAGACATATATCAATGGCGTTTGAACAAGTTAAGAATAAGAATACATCTCCCTTGAAAACTTGAAGCACACAGGAAACTAAATCCAATGAAATAAAATTGATGAAAATCAAGTGGGGCGACAATAAAAAAAAGCACAGATATAATTTATTGTAGCCGGTCAAAAATGTCTCTACAGAACAAAACTGCATTAACTTTAGTTACACATACAAAGTGGTATGAAAACATAAGAACATTTTCCATTATGATCATTGAAAAATTCTTCTGGTGTACAGTCGCAGACATATAACCATAAATTCATTCACAGAAAAGCAGTTCGGGTCCGCCCACAACCTCGAAGTCCACTCGATCGTCCATACCGGCTATAAGCCGTTCATATGCACCATCTGCTCCAAGGCGTTCGCACGCAAAGCGGAGATCAGAGACCACGAAAGAACCCACACTGGCGAGAGGCCGTACCAATGCGAGCATTGTGGCGCCACCTTCAGCCAGAGGTCTAACTTGCAGTCGCACAAGCGCGCCACGCACTACGACGACAAGCGCTATCAGTGCAACCTGTGCGGCAAGGGCTTCAAGAGGAGGCGGTTGCTCGATTATCACATCAAGGCCGCTCATACAGGTGAGTTGTTTTTTTTTTTTTTCAATACTATTGTCGAAAAAGATAGTGAAACCCGAGAAATATGGTAATAGTTATAAGAACAACAATTACGGATAGTTCATGTCAGCGAGTGAACAATCTTCCAGAAGAACGACATCAGGCGTACCTCGAGGATCTGTTTTGGACCCACTAAGATTTGCTATTTATACGATAGCACTTCGGCGTCATAACGAGACACGTGTCGCGGTGAAAATCTCACATTAAAGTGTGTTTTTTTATCCCATATTATTGCTAGATTGTGAACGTTTTGCTTTCTCTAGGAGAACGACCTTTCAAATGCGAAGTTTGCGATGCGACCTTCGTCTACCCAGAACACTTCAAGAAACATCGTCGGATACACACAGGGGAGAAACCTTTCTTGTGCGAAGTGTGCGGCAAGGCTTTTAATAGCAGAGACAACAGGAACGCCCACCGCTTCGTCCACTCTGACAAGAAACCATACGAATGTCTGGTAAGTATACGGCTCGACAATATGATTTTGTAGATTGTTAATACTCTTTTGATGTTCCAATTAAAGCTTGCCATTTGCATTACATTTTGTTCGAAACTGTGTGAATATTTAATTATTGTTATGGAGAGATTTCGTTTATCAATTATCAAGTTTCATAGTCATTTAAATCGCATATTGATAAACGTTTTTTCAGTTATTATTAATCGTTATCAAATCGAACGTTTTAACGTTCAAATAATGTCTGGACGTTTATATCACAGTGTGACGTTTTAATCAGAGTCTTAGTTTAGATATGAACATTGGATAAACGTTTTCGTCAAACAATCTAACCTAACCTAACCTTTAAATCGTGTCTGACTGTCGATGAATAGTTTCTGGTTTAAATTGCGTAACGAATTCACGTTTATGCAACGTTTTTAGAATAATCTTTCTCTCGTTTGACGTTGAGCCCTATAAAAAAGTGGTGATATGATGTTTAAATTATGGTTTCACGTCAATGCAAAGTTTTCTTGAATAATCGTTATTTCTTGTTTAACGTTAAGCCCTATTAAAATTGGGTGAACGTTCATATAACGTTTAAATAACGCTTTAACGTTTATGCAACGATTTTTAATCATTGATCTCTCGTTTAACGTACAGCCCTATTAAAATTGGGTGAACGTTGATATAACGTTTAAATAACGATTTCACCGTTATGCAACGTTTTTTGAATAATCGTTCTCTCATTTAAATAACGATTTCACGGTTACGCAACGTTTTATTAGTAATCGTCATCTCTCGTTCAACATACAGCCCTAATAAAATGGGGTGGACGATGATATAACGTTTTAATAACGATTTCAAGTTTATGCAACGTTTTTTTTTAATACTCGTTCTTTCGTTTTGAGTACAGCCCTATTAAAATTGGGTGAACATTGATATAACGTTCAAATAACGGTTTCACGATTACGCAACGTTTTTTTTTTAATTATCGTCTTCTCTTGTTCAACATACAGCTCTAATAAAATTAGGTGAACGTCGATATAATTTTTAAATAATGATTTCACGTTTATGTAACGTTTTTTTTTTTTAAAACGTTCTCTTGTTCAAAGTACAGCCCTATTAAAATCGGGTGAACGTTGATATAACGTTTTAATAACGATTTCACGGTTATGCAACGTTTTTTTTTTAATAATCGTTATCTCTTGTTTACCGTTCAGCTCCTTTGAAAATGGGGCTCCATAATAATGTCACGTTTATGTAATGTGTTTTTTCTTAATAATCGTTATTTCGTTTCAGGTTTGTGGCGCAGGGTTCATGCGCAAACCTCTCCTCTATCAGCACATGCAGTCCCAGGGTCACCTCAACGATACGATCGTCGTTAATCAGCCCAGATTAACGACCGACGACGATCAGGTGGTCACAGTCAATTCGCAAGGAGAAATGGAGATCATCGGTGGCGACACAACGGAATCCCAGCTATACGTTCAAGACGAAGACAGTAAGGAATATGTGATTCATATAAAATATCACAAGAAATATATGCAGGCCGAGCCCTGCGTGGTTCAAAATTTTAAACAAGGGGGAGAAGAAGTGATTAGAGTTCAATATTCGGACGATAACGATTGTCAGATGCGAAGCGAAGGTCAAGGTGGTAGTGGAGGGGTTGTAGTCGAAAATTTGACTGATAACGATTCTCAAACGCGAAACAAACACGAAAGTGAAGGGGTTAAAACTGAATATATCGACATCAATCAATTTCAAATTGAAAACGCTAATGGCAACGGTAAGGAATCTTCAAAATTGAAAATTTTCACACGAAAAAAAAATTGTAGGTTGAGTTAGATTTTGGGTTTTATTGCAGTCCAAGTAGTCTGAATGGAAAAATGGAATAGTTATTGAAAAATCATTGTGGGTGTTCAATTTACAATTTTGTAACTCGAAAAACCGAAAAAACTATTTATACAATTGATAACATACCTGAAATTAATATAAATAGCCCAGCTGCGTCAATATATTCGCCGATTGTATAAAAATTGTTTTCAATACAGAGCGATTGAAGATTGGAAAGAAACGATTAGATTAGTCCTCACTTTTGTATAAATACAATCCCTTCTGTTACAGGTGAGCACATCATCATTGACGGGCAGCAAATAAGCTTCGCCGAAGTGGCCAGCGACGATGATCAAGGCGAAGTTGTCGAAGAGGTCGAGCAGGTGGCGGAGGGCCAAGAAACATTCGATTACAGCGAGATATTCACCAGCGACATTCTGGACGGAAGCGAAACACAGATCATTGAAACGTCGGAAGGGCCGATTCAGCTCGTTAAAGTTCGGATCCCGAACGAAAACGGCGAAGAGGAGGAGGCTTGGGTCAAGATATTATCCGAGTGATAGATTTTAGTTTATATATCGTGCATTTTAATTCAAGTTTATGTTGTATATTCATAAATAAATAGATGTAAGGCAGTGGTTTGTGTTTTGCTCGCGGATATTTTTCTTGGCGCCCAACGTGGGGCGAAATAAGAAAGCCTTCATTTCAGAAATAAAGGTGGGGATTTCAGGACAGGGAATGGTTTGAATGGATATCAAGAGATGAAACGAGAAAGAAAAAAGTGTTTTTTTTGTCGCTGTCGCCCCCCTACAAACGACAACTCGCAAAAGTTGAAACCTGTGCGAGTCAAGCACTAACGAGGTGATAAATTGGTTAGGGCTTTCGCGGCCGAGATTCACAATCTTCATTAGGATTCGAAGATAGTAGCACTGACTAACGAGGTCTTACCTTTTAACGTTTGATTCCTAACACGGGTTGGACGAAAGGAAGTGAAAACCGATCGTCCGGCCTCGCGGCTGAGCCACCGGTTCACACAGGTGGCGATAACATAGTCTAATACACCAGTTTAGAATTTTCCTACTGGAAGGTAATACGAAATTAATAGATTTCTTTAATGTTGGTCTCAAGGCTTTTCCTAGCTCATAACCAAACTTCTGTTATGCACAGAAAAAACTGTATTTGTTCTGGCCCAGAACAATAACATTGATATAAATGATGAATAGTCGTACAGGGTGGATCATAGAAACCATACTGTGTGCCAGTGAAAGAACTTTTCGTTAACATTCAAAAACACAAATGTTCTTTGGGGGAGGGGGGGCAAACTTTGACCGTCCGTGAACCTCTACAACGAGAGTATCATTCTCTAAATTTTCAAGAAGGTAATCTGTTCACGTGTTCTCTAATTTCAAAACTGTTTTTACGCAAGCCGGATTTTTTTAAAAATCTACCATATTTTTCAGATATAGGTAGTCACAATGTTAATCATTATTACCTATGGGTAGGTCAAGGTATTCTTTTTTGAGACAATATAAAAAACACGGTTAGAGACTTGATCTAATGATGTCCGTTATGTTATCACTCTTCCGAAGAGAAAAAAAAACGAAACTAGGAAAAAATTTGAATTTTTCGAGTATAGTCGAAGTAAACGATATTGTGCACACTTAAAGTTGGCGGCACTCTCATAGGCAATAAAAACCAATACATAGAAATGAACCGGCTGCGAATTAGTCCACGTGGACTGTAGAATTGGCGGTTCCTAATGGATAATTTTTACTAACCGAGTTTTATGATTGACTGAAGAGTCATAAAATTGAATTTGAAGTCATGTTACGGTGACGAATAGAAATCGGCGAAGGCGGGGATGGTTCTCGTAATAATCAGAAATGTTTATTGAATATCAAAATTAGTTAGCTTCCTAACTATATTATTAAAGAGGAGCTGTTGGAAAGCACAATATCGTTTACATGAACCATACCAATTTTGTTCTAATACCGTCATTATTCATATATTGTTCAGAAAGAATAAGAAATTAATTTTCAACGCCCTGTACCTAACAAACGAAAGCCAAAGCCATGCTTAAGCATGCACTTTTTATCTCAAAAAATACTGAGAAAAAGTTGAGACATTTTTTTGTAGAACTGTAGTCAAGAAAAAAACAACATGATCTTCTGGGGCACTGTTGGGTCCAATAAAGATGTGATTCTAAGAATCGGCAATATTATTGAGGCACTGGAAGAATTACAGCAGAAAAATTGTGAGTCTAATCACTTATGAAACTAAGTGAGAAGGTACAAAAAAAGTAAAGCAGTTGATTTGTTCATTTCAAACTTGTCTCTGTTTCTCTTCAAACAATATTAAGTACAAAGATAGTTACGTTCAGTCTATCACTAATACATTTTTCCAACAAATTTCTAATGTTTTTCTTCAAATGAAATTCAAGTCCTAGTTATAAAAGAGGAATTCAAATCTCATTTACCCCTTTCCTCTGGGCACGTCCCTCAAGCAAACAGGTACCTACTCAAAGTTATTAGATTAGAAATTTCTGTTACCTGTAATCAGGTCATGAAAATTACCTGTTATTGAGTATATATGTCACTCAATCTGCTTACTCAGTAGTATTTTCAAGGCAGTAGTGTGTGTAGTGGTAGCCTGTGATATCTTGGAATATTTACAATTTACTAATCCGCGATGGGGAGACCGGCTAAATCAGTAAAGTAAGTTAACTCACTTTCTTTTTAAATAATTAGAAAACCTATAAAGTTAATATTTTGGATTCAGTGTTGCCAACCACGTGGTTTTGTTGATAATAGATCACAGAACTGAGTTGATGAACATGGAATTTCAATTTAGAAATGTTTGTGGCGCGCGAAATTTGAAAACCCAGCTAATTTCTTGAACAGCCCACTTGATTTCAACGACTTGACAATTCTTTGCAGAAACATAAATACATCGCTGTATACTCATCGAACTTTGACTATCATGTTTGATATGAGTAGGGGTAGAAGGTATGTTCTGGTCCACTTCAAGGTGCGCGTCGTTGGTAAGTATGTCAGAGAGATGTTAATGAGTGGGAAAGAGACATGAGCAATATAATTGAAAAATGTAAGAGAGAAATTGAATGAGTTTCATAGTAATTATGATTGTATGTAAAGGTATTGGATATTATTAATGGTATGATGATGAATTAAACATAAGATTATAGAAAGAAACATGCCGGAATGTAACTGGCATTGAGTGGAGTATATAACCTTGAAGTGTGCTCAAATATACCTTGTACATCTACTGATAAGGTATTACTACCACCGAGGTACAATTCCAGGACTTCACGTATACGAATCCATAACATTTATTTTCGACGATCACCACTATTTAGAATGTTCCTTGGCCTCGTCATTCTGATGACGCTCAAGACAATCTATATCATCGACGATCGACTGGTTTTCACATTTTTTCATGTACGTAATGCAATAAGTTCATTGTTATCAATTTTTTTCAGACACTTGCATCATCCCCAGACCAAGGCGTGGGAGTGTGGAACATGCGGCAAGAAGTGCGGTAGCAAGAACCTTCTCGACGAACACGTAAATACTCACCTCGGCGTGCGACCGTACGTGTGCGGCATCTGCGGCAAAAACTTCGCCAGCAAGTACACGTACAAGGCGCATGAGAAGACTCATGAATCTCGCCCGAGGCCGTTCAAGTGCGAGCAGTGCGACAAGGCGTTCCTCAACCAACAGAACCTGAAGCAGCACCAGAGGACCCATATCGGTTTGAAGGAGTTCTCCTGTCCTCTCTGCGGTAAGTTCTATTTACAGTACGGTCGGTAGATATTCATGCATGTGTGATGATTTTGCACATCCGAAATGCCCTAATTTTCATTAGCATTAGTCTCATTTTCCCTTGTGATCTTTAAATTTCGCAAGCCCCTTTATAGTCTACGAAATCATTCCGAACATCTACTTAAAAGACTAGTGTCCGAGTCCCACATAACAATAATGATCAAACTAACAAAAATTCTACCACGCCGCCCATGTCATACAAATAAACTGCCGCGGTCGGTAACTATTTAGTTTTAATGCCATTTAATTGACTTTCTATGTACTGTACCTCGAGGCTAATCTCATTGGATTAACCTATAAAATTGAGGGACCCTTCTTTGCATAATATGCAGGTATAAATAGTATGTTGCATTATGTGGGTTTGAAGCTGAAAACTCGTAATAATGATTGTATTTGATTTTTAATTCGAAAGTTCTACTGGGTTTGTACATAGAAATGTTTGATGTTTATTAATTCGGTTAATAATTACGGTATCCACTAAGTGACTAGTAATGATTGTGAAGATGTTCCATTAGTATTTTCCCCAGAAGTGCATAGTTTACTATTTCGGCCCGAATTTTCGCAAAGAAAATTTAATAATTGATGGATTTGTTGGCATTCTGATACTACAATATTCATGAATAACTAAACTCTGTTTAGAAACTTCAGTTATGGCTATATCGACTTTCAAAAAAGTGTATTTCTAACAAGCACAAAATCTAAACTCTCATACCATTTCCACCCTTGACTATGGGTGGCAAAAGGTCAAGAAAAGATCGCTACAGAATTTTCGAAGACAGTCTCAGACATACAACCATTAATAACGTTATTCATTTACAGGAAAGCAGTTCGGTTCCGCCCACAACCTCGAAGTCCACTCGATCGTCCATTCCGGCAATAAGCCGTTCGCATGCAGCATCTGCTCAAAGGAGTTCGCCCGCAAGGCGGAGGTTAGGGACCACGAAAGAACCCACACGGGTGAGAGGCCGTACCAATGCGAACTTTGCGGCGTCACCTTCGGCCAGAGGTCCAACTTGCAGTCACACAAGCGCGCCACGCACTACGACGACAAGCGCTATCAGTGCGACCTGTGCGGCAAGGGGTTCAAGAGGAGGCGGTTGCTCGATTATCACATCAAGGCCGTTCATACAGGTAAGTCTTTTTTTTTAAATAGTATTGTCGAACAATTACGGATAGTTCATATCAGCTGTTGAACAATGTTCCGGAAGAACGACAATTATTGCTGGATTGTAAACGTTTTTCTTTCTCTAGGTGAACGACCTTTCAAATGCGAAGTTTGCGATGCGACCTTTGTCTATCCAGAACACTTCAAGAAACATCGTCGTATACACACCGGGGAAAAACCCTTCTCGTGCGAAGTGTGCGGCAAGGCTTTCAGTAGCAGAGACAATAGAAACGCCCACCGCTTCATCCACTCTGACAAGAAACCATACGAATGCATGGTAAGTATTCGACTCGACAATATTAATATGTAGATTGTTGCGAATGTTCAACATTCGCATTGTAGTTTGTCATTCAAATCACATCTTGAATCAACGTTTTTTTTTCTTCAGTTTCTGTTAATCGCTATCAAATTCAACGTTTCAACGTTCAAATCATGCCTGGACGTTTATATCACAGTGTGACGTTTTAATCAGTCTTAGGTTAGGTATCAATTTTGAGTTGCGTTTTCATTTCATTATTTTCTTCACAATTCGTTTTGTTGTTGAATCAAATGAACATTGGATCGATGCATTTTCACTCAGATATCTGTTCATATCAAGCTACAACGTTTAAATTAAAATTACAAAACAGCTTTTCCTTGAGGTAGCATTTCGAATCGTAAGCACATATCTGTTTTTGTTCGCATCAAACTTGCAGTTGCATCATATTTTTATGTTTAATAACGTGTATTATCGTTTTCATAGTTAGATAGTCAAGTTTCAATAACGTTTTAACGTTGCCATTAAAATCGCATCTGTGAATTAGTATACATCATTTAAATATCGTTTCAACGTGAATTTCTACATGGTTTCACTATCCAGCAGTTAAATTTCAAATTCAACTTGAGCGTTAGCATTTCAAATAAAGTTTTGAACTTGGGTAAACGTGGCTATAGAGTTTAAATAACGATTTCAAGTTTATGTAATGTTTTTTTTTTAATAATCGTTCTCTCATTTAACGTTAAGCTCTATTAAAATCGGGTAAGCGTTAGTAAAACGTTTAAACAACGATTTCGCGTAATTACGTTTTTTTAATGATCGTTATCTCTCCGTTTAACGTTCAGCTCTATTCTTTAAATAGTAGTTTTACGTTTGTACAACGATTTTTTTTAATAAACATTATATTGTTTCAGGTTTGCGGCGCAGGGTTCATGCGCAAACCGCCCCTATACCAGCACATGCAGTCCCAGGGTCACCACAACGATACGATCGTCGTTAATCAGCCCAGATTAACGACTGACGATAATCAAGTGGTCACCGTCAATTCGCAAGGCGAAATGGAGATCGCTGGCGAAACGACGGAGTCCCAGCTATACGTTAAAGACGAAGATAGTAAGGAATATGTGATTCAGATAAAATATCACAAGAAATATATGCAGGTCGAGCCCTGCATGGCTCAAAACATTAAACAAGAGGGCGAAGAAGTGATTACAGTTCAATATTCGGACGATGACAATTGTCAGATGCAAAGCGAAGGTCAAGGTGGTAGTGGAGGGGTTGTAGTCGAAAATTTGACTGATAACGATTGTCAAACGCGAAACAAACACGAAAGTGAAGAGGTTAAAAATGAATATATCGACATTAATCAATTACATTTTGAAAACAATAATGACAAAGGTAAGAAATCTTGAAAATTATCACTTGAAAGAAAAATTTGTAGAGTTAGATTTCGGGGTTTTATGATCGAGGTTCTAACTCGTCTGAAAACCGAAAATTTTGAAAAGAAAATTAGTTTGTCTTGCTTTAAATAACTACTTCAATGCAGATTGTTTAAATGCAATTCATTCTGTTACAGGGGAGCACATAATCATTGACGGGCAGCAAATGAGTTTCGTCGAGATGGCCAGCGACGAGGATCAAGGTGAAGTTGTCGCAGAGGTCGAGCCAGTGGCGGAGGGCCTAGAAACATTCGATTACAGCGAGATATTCACCAGCGACGTTCTGAACGGAATCGGGACGCAGATCATTGAGACGTCAGAAGGGCCGATTGAGCTCATAAATGTTCGAATCCTGAGCGAAAACGGCGAAGAGACGGAGGCTTGGGTCAAGACATTACCCAAGTGATAAATATCAGTTTATATATCGTGCATGTTAATTTAAGTTAATGTATATTTTACAAATAAATAGATGGAAAGCAGTGGCTTGTGTTTTGTCCGCGACAATTTTTCTTGGCGCCCAACGTGGGGCGAAATGAAAGGTCTTTATTTCAGAAATAAGGGTGAGGGATAAGTCAAAATTTGGCTGTATTTCACAACGGCGATGTGTTGATGAAAGTAAACAGAGATAAAAATCAATATTTCCTAACGCAGAGTCAGGTGTGGGATTTTTCAATAGCTCAACCTCCGTTTTCAATTCCATTGCCAGTGAATATCGTTGAATAGCGATGTATTTTCATAACTTTATTTGAAAATATCGGTGCTATCATTTCTATTTTTAAAATAACTGTTATGTTATCATAAATGTTAATCATGTGTCGATATCGCATCCTACATGAATTTAGTCTATCAATTTGTTGTTTTAAGGAATGTTTGATCGTCGTTGATTCAAGATATTGGAAACGTTTCGTCAAAGCGAGTGTTTGACATCTTCAGGAGCTAATTAGCTGATGAATATGTCAAGACTAAGTGAATTAGAATGAATACCATTTGGGAAGTCGAATTTTTTGACTACGTGTCATCAAATCACAAAACTGGCATCTTCAGGAAAATTAGCTGATAAATGTGTAGAAATTCAGTTAATTAGGTTCCTGTGCTCTTATTTGTCAATGGTACCTAGCCAGTGTTTTTATTTGTTGGTGACGCCAAAAGGCGCCCAACGTGGGGCCTCTGTCAGATCATATGAGTACTAAAGTCGGGTGAAAACAATTTTGCGGGAATAAAAAAATATTAAAAAATTTATTGAAAACGTATTGCACTGATAATGAAAAATACTTGAATTATCACCGTGGAATGACCCACACCGTCCAAAACATTTCTGGAAGATATTCCCGCACCTTATGAAATATATCATTTATTATTTTTCACATACCGATATATTTTCCACTTGGTGCCTTGAGAATGTCACAGAAAATTTCGAAGTGCTTCCCCGCCCTTCCTGGAACTCTTGAAAATAACCACGTCACCAGTTTCTATCGACAGATCCGAATTCATTTTCTTAAACGCTTCTGTGAGCACATCGATCTGAGAGGAGTGAACAGACATATTGGCAGACAACTTCAGAACTTTCTCGGTATCATCTCCATTTCCTTGCAGCAAGTCGCAGCCCTCACAACCATCGAAATATTGAAAGATATTTTCGCAGCCTATGAGATTAATCTCCCGTAAAGCGGAAAACTCCAGTAAGCGTCTCAGAGAAATGCCCGTTAGGTTCTGGTTGTAGGACAAATTGAGTTTTTTTAGAGATTTGCCCGAGCATAACCTGCAAAATAATTTAGTAAAACTTCTATTATGATTATCCTCAACTTTGAAATGACAGTATTTGAATCTTCATGGTCGCACATTTCACTATTTATATATTTAAATTGCTAGTGACTTTGAAAATCTACGTTTCTCAAAAATACTAACCATATATTTTGGTATAATTCGAAATGAAGCCAATTACAGCAAAACAAGTGTGGATTTGCAATATTGCTGATTCGTATGTTACCTTCTACTCAGTAGTAATCAACGTAGGCAGCCTTTAGGCTATGCATGATCCGGCTCGAAGGACCAACATTTGTTGGGAATTTGATCAAGATCTGGTTGTTCTCCCTATCGTCGGTTCATAGAGGGACAATTACGAAAAAATCAACAGATATACATGAACACTGTCAACATTAATTATTAACAAATGTTGTAAGGGTTGTAACCAGTTAGATTATACGGACTTTCAACATTAGGAACGATATATTGGGGGAGAGTGAGTGAGAGAGAGAGTTCGATGTACTCGAAAAAGTCTATTTTTTTGACATTGTTTTGCCGAAAATCAAGAAGGTATTGATATAGGTTCAACCTATTCTTAACGAGCAGGGCACTTTATGCCGAGGATGTATCAAATTATGTGACAGCTGATTGAGAATTGAACTTATCATGATATTATTGTGAATAGTATTGAACCAAATGGACAAATTTAGATATCAATATTCTGCTATATCCTGACCAACTAAAACACCGATACTGCCGCTTAGAATATCAACTATTCCTGCAGTTCTGCTCTCATTTTCTTACCTGAGCAACCCGTACAGTTCGTTCTCCTGCAAATTACACCTGGAAACGTTCAGCGCTTCCAAAGCAATACTTTCAGATCCCTTCATATGGTCTATCACACTCGCCAGCACGCTTTCGTTGCTCCTCTCATTCCTAGAAACGTTCAAATCGCTCATCAACGCCGGATTTGTCCAGGAAACGACTTTAGCTACTCCAGCGGCATCCAGTCGATTATCGCTGACGTCCAGGCTGCGAAGACCTCTCAACTCGAGAGGTGACGAATCGATTTTAGTCAACCCGACGTTGCTCACATTCAACCTGCTGAGCTTGAGTTTATTAGTGAGTTCGGACAAGTACCGAAAGCTCTTGTCGCGCAGATAATTGTCGCTGAGGTCTAAATCGGAGAGTTTTTCCAACACGCGCGCGGAGGCAGTCGAAACGACTTTCACCATTTCTCCCAAGTGGCTGGAGGAGAGTCCGGAGCATCTCAGGTTCAAGATGGTAAGATTGACGAGGGTAGGAAGACTCGAGCAAAGTTTAGTGAAGCAGCTCAAGTCGAGGAAGTTGGCGGACAGGTTCAACTCCAGGAGACTAGATTGGTGGTTGAGGGCTATGCAGAGAGGGGCGAGTGTAGCCCCTGTCAAGGCTTTGTTTTCCAGGCTGAGCCTGATGGACATCTCCTCGATGGCTTCGACCACTGTGGCGTTGGTTGCTGAAATTAATATAATGCAGGAAAAACAATAATTATGCGCTCAAATATCCCAAGCCTTGAGCCAATCCTCACCTGTTTTAGCATGAGTACAAGCTTCTTTATACCTATCTATCAACGAAGGCAAACTCATCTCAATGATCCTACCAACAACCGGCTCCGCCTTCGTGGCTCCGAAAGGAAAGAGCAAGGTCAAGGGGTCGTCGTCAGACAAAAGAGCCCCAGTCGTAGTCTCCAGCTCCAAACTCGGCTTCGAACATTCTTTGCTGAAACATTCACATTCTAAAATCCGCTGGAAATATATCGAGACGAATTTACCGCGCGTATTTCTGAGCAGCTTCCTCAGCCAGCCAGCCTATCGTCTTCGTCTGGATCTGAGACATCCAGACGGGAACCCTGAAAACCTTGGTCTCTATCTTAACGTCGACGTACAACATCACGTCCCCTGCAGGGGGCGCTGCGCTGATATGCGCGGCTTCGAAGCTACGTGCCGTTTGAGAACCTTGGCTCGAACTTTGACTCGTCGTTGAGTCTGGTTCGACGAAGTTCCCGGTGCTGTGCCGTGCTCCAGAGTTGTCTTCGAAACTCGGGGTCCTTCTTAGGTACTGCGTGATTCGCGAGGAGGAAGTCGAACTACCACTGTTGAATCTCCTGAGGGTTTTCTTGGTGGTGCTTTGCCTTGAGCCGCTGAGCGACAATCTTTCGTTTCTGGAGGGTTGGAGAACTTCTTCTACGGAGTTGTCGTCGTCCACGAAACCGTCCAGAGATACGAATTCATTGCTGGTTCTTTTCAGGGCTGAAATAAAAAAAACTAGTGCCTTTCTCCATTTTCATCATTTCAGTTTATATTTTAAGAAGGTGGTAGCATTGGAGGCCTCGACAGTAGAGAAGTAGATCTGCAAGCTTATACAGAGAAGCAGAGACTCGGAAGACAGTGTGTGTCACCTCTGTTTGATAAATGATGAAACAGCAGAGCACATACTTTGTACCTGCCCCGCTGCGCACCGAATCAGGTTTTTAGAATTCGGCAGAGCCGTACTCTCACCATTTGACCTGAAACACCACTCACCTAACTCGACCTAACTTAACCTAACCTATCAATTTGGAAATCAAAAGAAAAAACAGTTAGTTTTTTTTGATAATACCACTCTTTCAACTTACGTGAAGTTCTGGGAGACTTGCTATTCCTGTGCTCCTGAGACCAGTAACTGGAGCTTATGGAAGAGTCAGTTAGAGTCGTTCTACGCTTCTTCGCCAACCTGCTGGCTTGGATGTCGTCTTCAAGCCAATCGTCCAGTGTGTGATCTTGTCGTATCAAAGCTGGTTTTTTACCGGAAGTATTCCCGAACTTCTGTTTGGGCTGCCTGACATTTTTCGGCATTCTGCTGAACGAACTCACATCGAAGCGTGGGTTGCTTACATCGTTTTCGAAAAGCCTACTGAAATGTGGCTCATCTACCGAAAAAGTTTTAGTTTGACTGATTTTGCTGCTCAATTGCGGGTGCTTAATGTTATATATAACGAAAGAAAGACAATAAGTATATAGTATAACAATTTTCAATTGAAGGTAACTCATATACAAATTGAACTGAGAGCTAACAGCAACAATGTTAAATGTTAGTACTAAATTCTTACCGGGGTCATTTTTATTGTCTACGCATCGCCATTGTAAACAATTGAAAGGTAAGATGATTCCATAAAATTTGACTCCCGTAACAAGATAGCTTCTGCATATCGATATGATGTACGAGCGAATAGGTGAACCAGTTCGTTAAATACTTTGAAACATCGGTAAACTAATCAACACTTCGCAGGTCTATTATATTTTCGTCCTTAAAATGCCATAACTAGTCATTTCGGTATCGAGCGTCCTTATCTGCATAGGCGTAGTGTGTTCTGTTTCTTGTGAAGGTGACTTTGTTTTGTATTTAATNGATCATAATAATTATTTTGTAAATTTTTCTGTTTTTTGGAAGTACTGTATTAGGCATAATAAGAAAATGTAATCAGTTTTACCATTGACACCAGGTAGCGCCACCTACTATAAGAATTTTTACGTAATTACCCATGTGTTTAAATAAATAAAAATGTTATTTTGGTACGCCTCTGCAGAGTTGGTAAGAGGATTATCCGTCGGTCACTTCAAGTGCGACGTTGCTAACGAATCACCTTCAATTGAAAATTGTTATAGTATAGTCAATCATTTCCAGACGGAAATTTATGTATTTACATTGGATGATAAAAATGTCTAGCCGGTTTTTTTGGTTCGAAGGAATTTTTTTTGCTCTAACGTGTCCGAATGAACATTTCTAACGTTCTGCTGGCGCAGGTTTTAGAAAAAAACGCCTAGTACTATTTGGGCGGGTTACAGAAAAGGTTGGAAAATGAAAAAAAACCTGGAAAAACGTCTTGATATCTGTTCCACAACACTCACCAGCATCAAATGCTTCCACCTCCATCTCACCATGATCCGAACGGTCCTCACCGGCACGAATATCCATCGGTTCCGGAGAATCCACGAAACTAAAATCCACCTCGTCAACCTTCTCTCCGACTTTTTCCATCGCTTCCGACATCCTCTTGACAACTCCATTGTAAAGCTCCAAATCTTCGCCGGCGAACGGGTTCTTGCGGTGCCACGTCTTCAGCACGTTCAAAGGAGTATCGCCGTTGTCGGTCTTCACGATGGCGGAAGCCCCTCGGTCTAGCAGAAGCTTCACGACCCCCACGTGGCCGTTGTTGGCAGCGTCGTAAATTGGTGTTATACCTAAATACAATGATTTAGAAAAAAGTGTGCCGCGAGGAACAGTTCTAGGACCCCTCCTATTCACCGTGTATAACAACCGAAATCTAGAAAACTATTTACGTGCATTTTCAGACGTACCTTCGCACTGGGTGCCTCCGCGGTCGTTAATAGCTGCTCCTTTATCGAGCAGCATCCCTACGATTTCCGTAAAGCCGTGGTTGCAGGCCTCGTGCAAGGGCAGCCAACCGGAATTGTCGCGCACGTTCACCGGATGGCCTTGCTCGAGCAGGTGGCGAACGACGGGAATTTTTCCGTTGATGCACGCCACGTGGAGCTGGGATTCACCTTTGGCGTTCTTCTTCACGGCGAAATTTCGGTGCTTTCTTTTGCCCACGGACGTGGAAGTCTCGGCGGCTGATTTCTGTTCGAAATCCGAGTCCTCACTGTTGTCTGGAAAGAGGAGAAGTCAACAGAACTTTGATGGTAAAGTTTTGGCTGCTCAACACGTTACAGAAATTTTTATTCCATGCAGTAAGATCAAAGGCTCTTTACACATGCGTTGATATTGATAGCGCTTGTGTAATGATAATTTTTTTCCTCAATAAGTTAACTCACTTTCTTTTTAAATAATTAGAAAACCTATTAAGTTAATATTTTGGATTCAGTGTTGCCAACCACGTGGTTTTGTTGATAATAGTTGAAATGAGATTCATATGCCCAACTCATCACAGAACTGAGTTGATGAACATGGAATTTCAATTTAGAAATGTTTGTGGCGCGCGAAATTTGGAAACCCAGCTTATTTTTTGAACAGCCCACTTGCTTTCAACGACTTGACAATTCTTTGCAGAAACATAAATACATCGCTGCAACGTTTTACTTATCGAACTTTGACTATCATGTTTGATATGAGTAGGGAAAGAAGGTATGTTCTGGTCCACTTCAAGGTTGCGCGTCGTTGGTAAGTATGTCAGAGAGATGTTAATGAGTGGGGAAGTGACAATGTAATTGAAAGATGTAAGAGAAAAATGGAATGAGTTTCGGAGAGATTCAAAGAGCGTGGATGAATTATAGTAATTATGATTGTATGTAAAGGTATTGGATATTATTATTGGTATGATGATGAATGAATAATAAGATTATAGAAAGAAACATGCCGGAATGTAACTGGCATTGAGTGGGGTATATAAGGTGTCTCAAAATGCACCATTCAAGAAAAAAAACATGACAGTTTGACAACGCTATAATATTCATTATTTTTATAATTCAACCCCGCTCTTAGCTTTGACTCTATCCGATACCCATGCCATCCTCTACATTTATTAGATTTTACTCACCAACGTCTCTCTGAATCACTTACCAACGACGCGCTACCCTGAAGTGTGCTCAAATATACCTTGTACATCTACTGATGCGGTATTACTACCACCGAGGTACAATTCCATAACATTTATTTTCGACGATCACCACTATTTAGAATGTTCCTTGGCCTCGTCATTCTGATGACGCTCAACACGCCACTAACTTCAATCTATATCATCGACGATCAACTGGTTTCCCCATTTTTTCATGTACGTAATTCAATATATCATTGTTATTTTTTTTTTCAGACACTTGCATCACCCCCAGACCAAGGCGTGGGAGTGTGGAACATGCGGCAAGAAGTGCGGTAGCAAGAACCTTCTCGACGAACACGTAAATACTCACCTCGGCGTGCG